CTTATGGGATGCGGCAAAAGAAGTGCTTAGAGGGAATTATGTAGTATAGATGCTTCTATTAAGAAAGAACAAATATCTCAAATCAATAATCTAACCTTCTACTTGAAGACACTGGTAAAAGAAAACTAAAACTAAACCAAGCAGAAAGAAGGAAATAATAAAGATTAGGGCAGAAATTAATGAAATAGAGAATAGAAAAATGAGAGAGATGTTAAACATTTGAAACTTTACTGATTATAGTAAGTTATATTAAACTTTTTTTTTAGTTCATGTCTTTTATTAATTCATATATGATTACTTGTTTTCTGGTTTGTTGAAGCAATAGGTGAGAAAACATTTGCCACAATAATGTCAGTTGAAGTGACTAGACAAAAAATCTCCAGCACCACATTCACCTGCAGGACACTCCCTATGAAGGCAACTGATGCTGCCGTTCTCATTCACTTTAAAAATAAAATTATTGTATTTTTTTCCATTACCATTTAGCCCACTTGTAATCCCCTCCCCCCTACATTCACCAACCTGTTGTCCATGTTCATAAGTCCTTTCTCCTTTTTACTAGATCCCTGCACCCCCAACCTCCCTGCCCCCATAGTTGTCATCCTGCTCTGTCTCTATTTTGTTACCTCAGTTTGTTCATTAGATTCCACATATGAGTGAAATAATATTGCATTTATTTTCCTATGACTGGCCTATTTCACTTAGCATAATGATCTCCAGGTCTATCCATGCTGTAGCAAAGGGTACAATTTTCTTCTTTTTTACAGCCATTTAGTATTCCATTATGTAAAGTTCCATAGTTGTTTTAACCACTCATCTGCTGACGGACACTTGTGTTGATTCTGTATCTTTGCAATTGTAAATAACGTCACAATGAACATAGGGGTGCCTGTGTTTTTTCAAATTAGTGTTTTGGCTCCCAAGCTCATTTTACAAGACCAGCATTATCCTAGTTCCAAAACCAGATAGACACTACAAAAAAAAAAAAAATTATAGACCAATATCCCTGATGAACACAGATGCTAAAATCCTCAACTAAATATTAGCAAACCAAATACAGCAATACATAAAAAATATCATACACCATGATCAAGTAGAATTTATTTTGGAAACGCAAGATTTGTGCATTTGCAAATCAATAAATGTGATTCACCACATAAACAAAATGAAGGATAAAACCCACATAATCATATCAATAGATGCAGAAAAAAGTACTTGATAAAATCCAGCATCCATTTATGATAAAAATTGTCAGCGAAGTGGGAATAGAGGGAACATACCTAAACATAATAGCCCGCATATGAAAAATCCACTGCCAGCACCATACTCAGTGGGCAAAAACTACAAGCTTTCCCCTTAAGATTGGGAACAAGAAAGGGATGTCTACTTTCACGTCTCTTATTCAACATAGTACTGGTAGTTCTTGCCATACCAATCAGACAAGAATTAAAAGCCATCTAAATTGGAAACGAAAAACTCATTCACTTTGTAGTATTTCAGGACAGCCAGCTTAACTTTCTTTCTCTTATGCTTATTCTTCTTGGAAGTGGTATAAGACTTCTTCCTTAGCACCACCACAACGTCCCAACATAAGATGAATAGTGGATTCCTTTTGAATGTTGTAGTCAAAGTATGTCCATCTTCCAGTTGCTTGCCAGCAAATATCAGTCTTTGCTGATCAGGAGGTACTCCTTCCTTATCTTGGCCTTTACGTTTTCTGTTGTATTCGGGGGTTCATCCTCAAAAATCATGGTCCTCCCCATAAGGTTTTTCACAAAAATCTGTATCTTGATGACAATTCCACCACAGATGGTAGATCAGAAAAGCAAAACTTTTCAGGTTGTAATAAATTGTATGAAAATATTTACAGAAAACATTAAACACAGATTATTTTTCACAAAATAAATGACATTTTTTCTTATATATTTAAAAACAACTCATATACCTGTTGTCAGAAGCTAGCCTTTGTGAAAATATCTACCAGGCACTCTCATCTTTTTCCTAATTCAAGTTCTATTTGGAAACTGTTAATCAAACCACGAGTCTATTTCAATTCCCAGCTTTTCAGAAATCTTGCCTATTAGGGCACTGTTAAGGGTGTTCAGCAAACCCATGCCTGATTACTCGTGCCACCACTTCCTGCTATGTAACTTTGGATAAGTTGCTCAATTTCTTTGAGACTTATTTGCCTCCTCTGTAAAATAGCAATTAATTTCTCAGTCTGAGAGGAATTGTGAGAGAATATACACAGAAGAGCCCAGTTAAATGTCTGACACACACCAAGTGCTTGATTAGTATCTATTCTATAATCATTTGATATTTTAAAATGGAATGACAGCCTAATTAGCTATATGGTATGAGTATACATATATGAATAGGCATGAAGTAAAGAGTTGGCAAAAGAATGCAATGTTGAATCCTATATACCAGGCTTTGTACTAGTCATGTTGACAGTTTGGACTGATTTTACTGTTTTAAAAACAGCTAAAATACTCACTTTGGGCAAAATATACATCGTGGCCTAAACTGATGGTTTTAGCAATAGGTTAGGAAGGTCAAATATTTGCACTCTTAAAATCCAAAACTACTTATAGTTTAACTTTTTGTTGTCATTGTTTACGTTTAATGGTGTAATAAATTTTATCCTTTGTGTCTTAGGTAAACATATTTCTTAGTTGTACAATTCTGTTCACTCTTTTAGACTATTAGTGAGTGGCATTCAAAGGGATTCAGAACAGGCATCCCCAGGATGTGCCCTTTTGGCACTTGAATTATTTTGAGCTAAAGGCAGTCAACAACCTGGAGGCTCACAAGAAACTCTTACCTCTCTCTTAAAGAATCTAAATTAAGGGCTTTGAACATATTAGAGTTATCACCAGAAATGACTTTTATGATCTATGTATAGGGCAGAGCAAACATCTAATTAATATCTGCTCCTCCTATTGTCCTATGAGAGACTTTCCTCCCTTCTTAAGTCCCAAGGCTCATTATCTCATCTTTTTTTTTTTTTTTTTACAGATGAGAAAACATTTTATTATTATTTTACTATATAGCATAGTAGTGAATATACTTGATTGCATTTTCTCAAATGGCAAATGGGACACAGGAAAACACTTTTCTTTGATTACTGAAAACCTCAGTATCATCTGTCTTTTGGAGGATTCAGTTTCTTATGACGTCTATGATACTGTCCACAAGGATACTACCGGTGCTTGGTAGTAAAGAACATTTTGCTAAGTTGTTCTATCATAGGTCCTTGCTCCAAGTGCTCATCTTTTTCTTCTAATCTGGTTTTCAGTACTTGATCTAGTGTTTCTTCATGATTATGCACAGGATCGGGCTGAGGGATGGGTTTTGTATGTTCATACGGAATGTCCACGGAAGGATGGTAGCAAACTATCGTCCTGCCATCAGATGCCAAAGCAAGCTCTACTTTGCAATTATAGTCATCTGGAAGAGCAGAATATGTGGATTTATGACAAACACAATATAAAGGTCCATTTTGAAATGGAAATAAATGTTTCAAGATAGTTCTGTTTGATATCGCCTATTTCACTGCTGCTACTGCCATGGTGAATCAAGATGCTTATCGGGTGGTATGGAAAAAAGATGACTTGAAGAGAAAAAGCTTTTAAAAGTTGCTTCTAGGCATACCTATTTTCATCCCTTGACAGCTCCTCACCACAATCCCACCATCTTGCCTCCTCATTATCTCATCTTTAACCTCAGAATGTCATGTCCATCTCATTTTATCTTTCTGTATCTAAACCTCTCATGTATGTGTGGGTCTCTGCCTATCTCATGTATGTGGGGTTCCCGTATATACGTATGTAACTGAATTTGCCTATTTTCTCCTCTTACTGTGTTTTATGTTGATTTAATTATTAGACCAGGCAGAAGAACCTAGAAGGGTAAAGGGAAGATTCTCCACCACACATTAAAACTTTAAAGCACATCTATAACCTGATAGGCAAGATTAAATTATATTATTACTCAAAGCGTATTTTGGCAGGCACTTTATGCTTATTTTGTTTGTGTGACTGATGGCTTTGAAATTGAATATTCTCACCAGCAATACAAGCTTCAAGCCAAGTTTGAGGCTAGTGCTTCTCAAAACATTAACTTGAATATGAATCACCTGGAGAACTTGTTAAACTGTAGATTCTGAATCACCAGGTCTGGAATGGGGCCAATAGTCTGCATTTCTAACAAATTTCCAAGGGTTGCCAATGTACTTGTTCAAGGACCACACTTTGAGCAGTAAGACTGTGTAAAACTCTGGAAGGCTAGGCGAGAGTTGGAAATGACTAGAGCTTATTTGTTGTTATACATCACAGTCCCAAGTATGGGTTCATACTCTCTGAGTTTACTCTACTGTCTTAACTGAGTGCTGCAATAAGTTAATGAAAAAAATTCAGAGGCACCGAATAGCACTGATTCTGTTCTTAAGTGTTGCATATTATAATGATTAAATATAGTAATAGAATAATACCATGTCTACCTTGTCGTGCATTTTCTATTGTTCCTTTGTGTTGTCCATTAGCCTCTCCACCTCTCCAACCTCTTTATACTGTATCTCATTGACTCTCAAAAGTGGTGTACATGAAGCATCTCCATTTCCATTTTCTAGAGCTCTTAGCTTCCATTGGCCCTTACTGTATCCAGGCAGAGAACGATGAATACAGACTGCTTAAATCCCAGCAAAATTTTGTTACCAAATGAAAACAATCATTTGCTATTGTTTTCCTTAAACTCAGGCCTGATTTTTTAAGTACCTTATGTGAGCATTTATGGAAGCTTCCAGGGAAGCTAACTTGAAGTCCTTAGTCATTTAGATAAGAGTGCAGATTGAGATTCACCTGTAAAGTCCACAGTGTATAGAGCTTGATTGTGTATGTAATTTGACTTCAGAGACATCGTTTTAAGATGGGGCTAATTCAGTTCTTAACACAAAATAGATATGGCTTGAAGTGTAATGCATGCCATCTGATTTGTTACAGAACACAAAAATAGTTACAGTGAAGACAAGAGGAAAAAGAGAACCAGGATATGGGGAGGAAGAAGCAGCCTGGCTGCTGATGTGGCAGCATTCAAAAGCAGCTTAGCAACAAAGGCATTTTCTGCCCAAGCTAACAGGACAGACAGCACAAGAGGAAGAACACACAGAAGAACAAAACGTTTTTTATCCCAGCCACGGTTTGTAGAAGTGATGGTGGTAGCAGACCGACAAATGGTTTCATACCATGGAGCAAACCTTCAACATTATGTTTTAACTTTAATGTCAATTGTAAGTACATTCAAAAGAAGGTGCTTTATGAGGTCCCTAAATGTGCCATTGGGGAATGGGTTTCCACGCAGTGCTTTGGAGGATCATTCAGGGCTGGCATTTCAACAATCCAGGCAAGTGACTGAAAGAACATGAGATTATTCATTGTCGTTTTATGATGACAGTAATGGTTATCAGTATTGAGTCTTTATTCTGTGTTAGACAATGTGCTTCTTACTTAAAAGGCATCACTTTTAATCCCCCAGGGCAACTCTGCTAGATGGGATCTTCATGCCCATTGTATAGATTAAAAAACCAAGCCTCAGAGGAATTAGGTCACTTGCCCATGGTTGTGTGAAGGCTTGGAGACTAATGTGACTGTTAGCCTGTCCAGTCCCCCAAACCAGTGCTCTTTGTCTGATGTGTGAACTTGGACAGCCAGGTGTGCATCTCCAGTAAGGCTTTTGGATGTTGGTTGTGAATCAGGGTCACCTGTGGAGCTTTTTAAGCGCAGCTGCCTGCCTCCAGCCTCTTCCCCAGAATTCTAATTAGCCCTGGGGTGAGGTCTAGACATCTCTCACTCTATTTTTTCTAGTCCCGTTTTGAATTGAAAAAGCAATACATTTGCATGACTTAAAAAAATCAAACATAACGAAAGACCATCTGTGAAAAAATGTGTCTTTCCCTACTCAAGCTCCCAGGCCCCTTCTCTGAGGCAACCACTGTTAAGTTTTTTTGCAAATGTTTCTGAACAGCTCTGCCCAATAGAGATATAATATAAACCACACATATAATTTTAAATTTTCTAATAGCCAAATGAAATAAAGCAAATAGGTAAAATTAATTTTAATAATATATTTCATTTTATATCCAAATATTACTTTAAAAATTATTGAAATATTTTAATTTGTTTCACAGTAAGCCCTCAAAATCCAGTATGTTTTACACTCACAGCACATCTCTATTTGGACTAGCCACATTTCCAGTGTTCAGTGACCTTATGTGGCAAGTGGACAGCACAGCTCTGGACATTTCTGAAGCACATAAGTGTGCATATACAATTTTTTTCCAAACAGAAATGGAGCATTGTCCTAAAATGTTTTATACATTGCTTTTTTCTTGAAATATTGGAGATTATTTTCTATAACAGTCCCTATGATATTGCCCTCATTCATTTTAAGCCTAGCATAAGATTCCTTTTAATGCATTGGCCCTAGTTTATTTGAACAGGAATCTATTTTTAATATATTCCACAAATGAATGTAAAAAACAACCATGTTTGGGAACATTGCTTTAGAGTTTCTTCCATCTCCGCAGCCTTTGGTTCTCCTTGTCTTTCCCCTCACTGCTGTGAGCAGTCCCTTGTGCTCCGCTTTCCACACCCCAACATGCCTCCCCTCCACCCTCAAGTTACGCACCTTCCCCGCACTTAGTCCCATGTACCCTAGCCCTGTCCTGTCCTAGACCAGAGAAAGAAACACCTAATTAGACCTTGCACGGACTCAACTCCATTTTCTTTTCTTTTGTTTTTTTTTTAAAGATTTTATTTATTTTTAGAGAGAGGGGAAGGGAGTGAGAAAGAAAGGGAGAGAAACATCAATGTGAGAGAGACGCATTGATCAGTTACCTCTCCTACACACCCAACCAGGAACGAAACCTGCAACTCAGGCGTGTGCCCTGACGGAGAATGGAATCAGTGACTTTTTGCTTTGCAGGATCACACCCAATCAACTGAGCCACACCCATCAGGCTCAGCTTTGTGTTCAACCCCTAAGTCAAGACCTGTCCTAAGAATTTCAATTGCAAACATGGACTTTAGGTCAAATTAATGGAAGTTGAGAGTTCTGGCTCTGCTACTCATCACTGTATATAGTCTTGGATGAGTTAGTTAATTTCTCTGAATCTTAGTTTCCTCATTTCTTGAGCAGAGTTTAAAATAATACCTAGCCCAGAGTTTTGCTATGAGACTAAATGCAAAAGTACATGCGGTTTTCAGCAAGACTTAGTCCACAGTAAGTGTTTGATGAATGTTAGCTCTTATAATTAACAATGATGATGGAAAAAAAATAGGTTACCAGGTTGTGGAGAACAGAAATGGGTGCTAAACATGAAGAACAGCAGTATTAACAAAGACGCGATCAATGTGAGATTTCATAATTTCGCAATCTGGGATATCAACTGGGATGAAGGAGCTTCATCAAAAATTAAAAACTAGTATTTGGCATAAAGAACTGTTGAGTTGCATAACCATGCAATTTCCAAAGAAAGCATCTTGAAATTTAAATGTTAGAATTTATTATTTAAAACTTCTATCTTTGAACAATTTTACAAAGAGACTTTTAACAATGTTTGTTGAGTGAAAATTCAAAACTTGAAAATACATATGTTTGTTGCATGAATTGTAGAAAGAGGTGGAGCCCCACATAAGAAGTAAATTGCTTATTGCTTACACAGAGTTCACAATTAACTTTGAAAAATTTATCTCGGTTGCAGGTAGCCTCTATCTATAAAGACCCCAGTATTGGAAATTTAATTAATATTGTTGTTGTGAACTTAGTTATGATTCATAATGAACAGGTAATAAAGTTTTTTTCTTCTTTCTTCTATCTGTATCCGAAATGGCATGTCTAAGTGGTACAAGAGACAAACCATATTTTTTTTTCTGTATTTAGGAAGGACCTTCCATATCTTTTAATGCCCAGACAACATTAAGAAAGTTTTGCGAGTGGCAGCATTCGAAGAACAATCTAGGTGGAATCCACCATGATACTGCTGTTCTTATAACAAGGTATGAATTTCTCACTCTTCCCATCTGTTTCCAGTCAAGTTGATGGGATGAGGTCGTATATTGCCAGTAGTCAGCTCCGAGTACAAGGTTTTTCAGCCTTAGCACTATTGACATTTGGGAGCAGAGAATTCTCTTTTGTGAGGCTGTCCAGTGCATTGCAGGATGTTTAGCAGCATCCTGGGTCTCTGCCCACCACTTATCAGTAACATTCCCTCCTCTCAGTTGTGACAACCAGCCATGTGGTCAGGCCACATAGGTTACCAAATGACCTCTGGGGACAGGGGCAAGGGCAGGGGTAGAGGAGTGCTGAATCACCCCTGTTAGGAACCACCTACCCAATAGGTGCCAAGTAGACAGTGGAAGTGTCAGACAGGCCTGAAGGGAAAGGAAGAGGCAGCGGCTCTTCAGACTGAGCCAGTTGTTACCAGGCAGGATACAGTCCCATTATTGCCAACCTCTGCGATTTTGCAAAAAGTCAGAGATGTGGATTTGTCTTAAAAGTGAACTTTCCAATTTTTAAATGCTCCTACTTTAAATTTTGAAGCTCCTACTTCAGAAATATTTAAAAGTCTATGCAGGGCTTGAAAGAGGTCTGCTGGCCTAGTGTGCTGCCCACCACTCACCTCAGAGGTGGTCATAGGCACGCATTTGTAACCATAAAGGAAAAACATGTTTGTCAAGAATCATTGTTAAGAAAACAGAATCACTTCCTCCAATGTATGAGGAAAAATCCTGGTCAGAGAGGTTTCTGCTTGTTCTGTAGCCACCATTGAGGCAGAAGAAGACCTTTCAATGTAGCTTCTTATCCTTTAATCAGTGATGTCCAAACTGTTTTTGAGTTGCGTAACCCTGTCCTTATTAGTTTGCTTTTGGTAATGCCCTCCCTAACATGGGTGCTGTTATGAATTCCTAAAAGACTGTGAAGTGTTTACTTGTTTTGATGTTTCCTCTTCGGTGTCATCAAGGCATTAAGTCTGCTTTGCTTTCAGACAGGATATCTGCAGAGCTCATGACAAATGTGATACCTTGGGTGAGTCTGCTTTGTGTCTCCTTTCTGGCTACATGTTTTTATTCTAGCTACAACTACTTTTTCAAGTAAATTATTGTTCTTTTCCTCCCAATAGGCCTTGCTGAACTGGGATCCCTTTGTGATCCACCTAGAAGCTGTTCTATTAATGAAGATAATGGATTGAGCACAGCTTTTACAATAGCCCATGAACTGGGCCATCTGTATGTTTCCTTTCCATGTTTTCATTGAATTTAGAGTGACCTAAAACTTTTCTTCCTTCGCAACAGTGAACCTTTCCTTGACTTTAGAGGGTGGGAGACACTTCTTGAGTCATAGAATTTGCAGGGTTGAAGACCTTGGAACCTAGTTGGGTGAAATAACCTTGATTTCGGATTGCTGAGTAAACGCAGTGTACCCTCTTGTGCCATAGCTCATTTGGCTTGTTGGTTTAACTGCACACATTTTCTATGAAAAGTCTAATATTCTCCTTTCCTACTGGGAATCAGAGGAAAGGGGCCTTTCCAAACCATCCACTGGTCAGCTAGGAGAATTTTCTGGCTTGACATCTTTTTCTGGGAGGGTCCCTATTATTGCCCAGACTCACAAGATTTTCACAATCCAGATCATTCCTGGTTCTAGTTACATAAGTCTATATAGTTCAGACAGTGAGCCTTGGGAGCACTGAGATCTTTCATGGAAGAGAATGAACAAAGATAGAGCAAAGAACACGTTTGCTAATTGTGGTCATTATGAAACTGGATTTTCCTTTTTGTTCTTTTAGAGATAGAGCATGACTAGAACATGTGGCAAAGTAGTGTAAATTTACTAGAAATTATTCTGATATTTGAGCGGCATTATTTTCTTTCTAGAAAAATTAAATTACTTATGTCTTTATGAAATAATTTTCTCAGATGTCACTAATATAGTTGTATATCAATTTTCATGTCAGACGTTAACTTTATAACTAAGATCATCTATTAAGCACACTTTTTCATTCGCTAGCATTATGAGGGCACATATGTGCAGTGTGCTGTGCTGGGCATAAAGCAAGGTGCATATATAGAGGTACCACCAATTCAGTTCAGTGTATAATGAGTATATTTAAAAACCAGTACCTTTCAAGCATATTTTAAGTGCATACCCCTTTTCTTTTCTCTAAAGGAAGTGTTATTAAACACCCAATATTTATGGCACAAAAAAAGGCTTGCTTTCCATCAAGCAGTTGTGGCAGGCCAGGGTCCTATTAGTCAGCTTTCTCTCTGTCCTTTTGGTTTCTGAAATGCTATTATGAAACTAAGGATTTCTTGAAACTGAGTTTGAAAACTACTGATCCCAGCAGTGTTTCACAAAGCACAAGGTCTTTAGCACTACTTCCAAAAGAATGGTCTGTGGGGGGAAAAAAAGTTTTATAGTCGTGATTCTTTTTTTTAATTTCTCAACTACAATTAACATTCAATATTATTCTGTATTAGCTTAGGAGTACAGCAAAGTGGTTAGAAGTTCATGCACTTTACAGAGTGCCCCCAACTCTGCTGCTTTCAAGTATCCACCTGGCCCTATGACCCTATAGAGTTAGCACAATATTGTTGACTATATTCTCTATGCTGTAATCTACATCTCTATGACTATTCTGTAACTACCAATTTGTACTTATTAATCTCTTCAATTTTTTTAGCCAGTCCCCTAACCCGTGCCCTGCCCCCCGCCGCCCAACAGCTATCAATCTATTCTCTGTAGCTAGGAGTCTTTTTCTATTTTATTTGTATATTTGTTCATTAGTTCCACATATAAGTGAAATCGTACCGTGTTTGTCTTTATATGATTTACTACTTATTTCACTTAGCATAATACCCTCTAGATCCATCCATGCTATTGCAAAAACAAAAAAACAGTTTTGTAGTCAAGTGATTGAAAAAAAATTTTTATTAAATTTATTGGGGTGACATTGCCCAGACTCACAAGATCTAATTACATAGATTTCAAGTGTACAATTCTATAATACATCCTCTGTATATTGTATTGTATTCTCTGTTCACTACCCAAAGTCAAGTCTCCATCCATCACCATTTATCTCCCCTTTACCCTCTTATACCTGCCCCACCCCTCTTTCCTTCTGGTAATCATCAAACTGTTATCTGTGTCTGTGAGGTTTTTTCCTTAATCCATTCACCTTTTTCATCCAAACCTCCAACCCCCTTCCCCTCTGACAGCTGTCGGTCTGTTCACTGTATCTATGAGTCAGTTTCTATTTTGTTTGTTTATTTTGTTCATTAGATTCCACATATACATTAAATCACACAGTATTTGTCTTTCTCTGACTGGCTTCTTTTACTTAGCATAATGCTCTCCAGGTTGCTTCTCAGCCTTTTGGCTAATGTCAAGTGTAGGATCTGTTTTTTTCAGTTCAACAGTCAAGTGATTTTTTAAAAATATGTTCCTAGTCTATCCTTGGTTGAAGTCACAAGGCTAAATGGTATAAAGTGAAAGCTTTAACAAGTTCTGTATTAAACTATTGATTTTGTGTAACTCGGTTTTCCCAAACTTATTTTAACAGAATCTTTTAGGGATTTTTGTTTGTTTTACATAAAATTTAGTAAATTATTTAGAACTTTAAATAGAAGAATAGATTTGACCATGATGAATAGATTGACATTTCAACAGGGCAGTTATTCCCTTCATAGGAAATGGAATTGGAAAAGTTACAGAGATAGGAATGTATTCAAAAGGAACAGAATTTTTATTAACATTTCTCCCTAATATATGGCAAAGAAAAGTATACCATTTAAATAAATATAATTAATTTTCTATTTATTTATAACAAGAGCTTATAAACTTCTTTTAGACAGTTTATAAAGTTGACATTTTGAAGAAAGTGAAATATTAAGTAGCAAAAACTAAATATTTCCAACTATAGAGAAACCTAAATGCATATAGTTAACAAACATTTTCCTGACACAGAAACCATGTTGTTGGCATTGTTTTAGGCACTTTCATTTATATTATCTCCCTTAATCTTCTTTATCCCCACAGGTAAGTATTATTGTTTCTCTGTGTTTGACTTAGTGAGGTTAGAGCGGGGTCCCAGCTCCAGGACAGAAGTCGGCTGGTAGCCAGACACCCAAATTCTGGACTGAATTGTTCCACGTTCTGCTTGACCTGAGGATAATGTATGCTGTTTCCCTACCTGTAACGTGAGGATAAAACATATACTATCTCAGTTGTGTCAGGGAGTAAAGTATGAAATAATTGATGAATGATGTGAGTGAGTTGTTATTTAAACAAAAAGTATGTTCCTAAAACATTAAGAATTATCATTGTTTTGGTGCTTTGTCTCAGATAGTTAGGTTTGCTCACATTTAAGGAAGTGAAAATCCTCAGGTTTTTCTAATGAACCTTTTAAAAATTACATGCTAAGTTGTTCCAGTCATGACTTTGTGATAATAAAAAAACCAACGTTTATTGAGGGGAAGAAAACAATTGATCTTGTATCTGTTGAGCATTAGTGGCTGCTTCAAAAAACAGCTCCTCCTCTTCATACAGCCTCATAGACACGCAGAGTCTAAGAGGAAGAATTTGGGAGGTCAGTTACCTCTACTGGATATAGAAATCTTTTCACAGTATTCCAGACAAATCTTCCACAACTGTCTAACAGCAGGGAATATAGTTTATATATATTCCAAAGCAAGAGGTTTTAGAATCAGACTGAAGTGAATCCCAATCCCAGCTCCCCTATCTTAGTACTTATGACCTCAACCAAGTAATTAAATCTCAGTTTCCTTATCTATAAAATGTGGATAGTAATCGTATTGGCCATTGGGTCAAATAGATAATTAAGTGAAATAAAGCATCTGACATGTTCAACACACTGCCCAGTGTGTTGCAAATGCAAAAAGAAGTATTATTGTTGTTTAACAATATGCTCAATGAATATGATCTAGCTTCTGCTATGAGCATATGTACCTGACATTTGAATGAAAGGAAGATTTCTGTTTACCTGATAAAATAAACTGGATTTTGTCAAGTCCTCATAGGGGTAGGGGGTAAACATCAGCCCCCTTGCACCACAGAGAAACAGCTAAACTAAGATTTAGATGCTGTGCTTGTTGGGTTTGTTGGTATAGGTAGTATATTGACTCAGCAGCTGGGAACTAGAAACTTGGGGATTTTTTTTTTTTAAGAAAATGGACTCATAAGCATTAAGAACTACTTTTAGGTTCAACCAAGGCAGTTTGAGTTTTACCATCTCACAATTTCCATCAGACAATTATTTCATTTGGTAATTATTGTGGGGCTCAAATTTTTAAAAGAAAAAGAAAACCAAACACAAGAGAAATCAATGGACTGAACTTCACAGACTTTTCTCCCAGCTTTTACTTACGTACGAAGCAAGTCTACACTCTTCTGACTCATTTATTTACACATTTCAAGGCGAACTAGTGAAGGAAATTCCTCCCTAAATGTTCAATTAATCACATGCATCAAATTTGTGATTGGGGAAAGTCACCCAGAGAGGAGAGCCCCTCTGAGCTTCTTAACCAGTGGATAAATACTAAAGCTGATAATGGCATGTGGATTATGCAGCTGATGTTTCTGGATTGACAAATGCTTCCTATCATTTTCCCCTACTTTGTCTGGCAAATATGTGTGAATGCTGCTCCCAAGTTCTTTCCCAGGCCCAAGAAGAGGACATTGGTTCCTCATCACAACCTTCTGGGTTGGTGGGGAGGGGTGCGGGCAGAAGAGAGGAAGCCCGGATTTAATTAAAACTCATTTTGTGCCCAACTTCTCAGGAAATCAGTACCAATCAATTGGTATTGGCATGAAGCATGAAACTACTTGCCATCTTTGAGTTAAGCCAATTGAAGAGGCATGCTTCTGGTTTCCATGTTTGCAGCCTTGCTTAATTGTTTTATTGTGCATGAACTTTGCATACCTTTATAATGATATACCAACGGGGTTATGTCCTTTGTCAATTTGATCTGAAGTGGAGATGCCAAATCCCACAGTGAGCCTCTTATTAGGAAGCTTTGGCTGCAAGCTTTGACACTTGACTGACTATATTCACAGCATTATCATAACCTGCCAAATCTTGCCTCTATAAATTGGCCTTTAACTGCTTATTAGGAATTCCATCTACTGTATTCTAGCACCAACTACAGAATGTTCAGAGCTTCTGCAATTCCAAAAAGTACACTTAAGCCATATAATGGCTCAATCCACATTTTTTATACATTAAAGGCACTGTGTATTAAATTGAGTAAGAATTATATTTCATCAGCACTCCACCTTTAATTGTCTAGTTTTGTTCTGCTCATCAGGATTCAGGTTTTTATCCACAATGCAGTAGTCAGTTCAAAACTGACTTTTTATCCACAATGCAGGAGTCAGTTAAAAAATTTTTTAGACAGGTACATTCTTGAAACCAATTATAATAACTCGATCCCTTGGTGTTTATTGACAATTTCATCCTTGTCTCGTTGGCTGTAGGTTTAATATGCCTCATGATGACAGCAATAAGTGCAAAGAAGAAGGAGTTAAGAGTCCCCAGCAAGTCATGGCTCCAACATTGAACTTCCACACCAAACCCTGGATATGGTCAAAGTGTAGTCGAAAATATGTGACTGAATTTTTAGAGTAAGATGTGAACTTTGTTTTAGCACAGACTTCTGGTGTGTGGCCTCCATGTAGTACACTAATTTTGGGAAAGAAAATGTAGAGTCAAGCATTCCTTTTGAGTTGTTATTTTTGTTGACTGACATTCCTTGAAGGAGGGGAAAAAATACTCTCTGCCATTGTGCAGTTTATGTCCTGCCACAGTTTAGAAGATTATAGACTGAGCTAAAAAGAAGGTTGGGATCTTACAGAGAAAGGGTAAATGTTGCTTTATTCTTGGTGAAGATAGGAAATCTAGATGTTCAGGTGTTCGGAGAAGGACCATGAATGTGATTACCTAATGAAGGAAAGCCACAATATTTATGGGCTTTAATTTAGTAATTTTGGCTCTGAAAAGGGTAGGATAGTGATACAATCCCAAAGAAGGCTATCTGGGGAGATGAAAATTGCAGCAGCCCTCCCTGCTGTTGAATGTAGGACATTCTCCCTCTCTCTCCCCACCCCCACTGCCTCTTTCTCTCACACACACACACACACACACACAACCCCCCCCTTTTCTTATTTTGTTTTTTAAGCTTCTTGCCAGACTGTTCAAAGATCCCATTACATTATACAATATCCCTGTGTCACAGATTTATTGCTTTTCTCTCCCAGAAGTACAGAAGGTTAAGTGATTGTCCTAAGGTCACTGGGTGTATATTTTTACAACCACAGGGAAGAGGGGATTTTATTAATCAGAACTCACTGGGTGTGAATTTCATCCAGAAGTGTTTGTAGAAAAGTCAAAAGGAGGGCTGCTGTTTTTCCTATTTAATCAGATGGTAGGTGGTGTATGTTTCTCAAGATTGTTGATTAAACCACTCATCTATTCAGCAAAGATTTACTAAATATCTGTTATGGAAGATGAAAAGACACTATCTTTGACCCTAAGAAGCTTACAGTCTATTGGAGAAGATGATTATAAATAAATAAACAGATAGATAGCTGGATAAATAGATAATTGCCTTGAAATGTGATAAAAGCTGTAATAGATACACATTTCTTATTGGCTGTGTTGTATACATAGCCAATCAGTATACAAACAAATATACACCAAAACATAACTTCAACTCCTAGACTTAACCTTAGATAAAAAGAATAAAGCAAATATAAGGAACTGTCCTCTCTACCATTATAATGACAGATGGCCTTTTCTTTCATCTGGAGGCGTTGACAATCACGTGTCACCCATTGCTCTCACCATCTGTATTTTTTGCTTTCCAATAGCATTGGTTACGGCGAGTGTTTACTTAACAAACCTGAATCCAGATACTACCATTTGCCTTCCCAACTGCCAGGCCTCCTTTACAACGTGAATAAACAATGTGAATTGATTTTCGGACCAGGTTCTCAGGTGTGTCCATTTATGGTAAGTGTTTGGGGATTGATTATGGACTTTTTATTCATAATTTTCCATTAGATTTTCACTCTAATATGAACCACTCATGGAAAAGTTGAGAATGGTCCATTGACTGTTAATGATAATACTAATGATGATGGTGATAAGCAGTCACAGTACTGAGTGTTAGAGGGTGTTTTACTGTCACTTTTTCATTTCACTCTCAGGACAGTCCACCAGGGAGATACCATTATTGTTTTCTTCGTACAGGTGCGAAAGTGAGGCTCAGAGAGGGCAGGTCGCAGAGCGGTAGTGGCAGAGCTCAGCCCCTTTCTCTCCTTGTCTCCTTTCATGACCATTGACCTGTGTAGGTGACCTTTATCATAGGGACTCTTCTAGATTCAGTAAAAGTAATTCATGGGACAAACTTGTTCCCCTGGTTTAGCTCATCAAACCTGTGTCCTGTGACCACCTGGGGCTTAAAATCGTTTCTGGTGATAGCTCAGCAGGGGTGTGTGTGTGTGATACTTTGATGTATGTGTTGTAGACATTTGGACCAATGATACGATCTAGTGTTTATCAATAGATTTTAGAAGAGCAGAACTGTGCTTCTTTGGGGTGCCTTATTCTATCGCATTGGGTGTATATGTGTGTTTGTTTTACTAGGAGAAATTTTAGAGATTACATGGTAAATTGGGAAGTACAGTGATTCCATGAAAATAATAAAATATTTTGAGTAAAATTTATCCATGATTATATTTATTTCTGTGTTACTCATGATAGTAAACATTAGGAGTGATCCAAATGTGCTACAATAGAAAGGTTCAGCGAATTATGGTGTCTCCATTTAGAAGAATATTATATAATAATTAAAAATTAACCGCAAATGGGAATATGATCCTGATTTTTTTAACAGCATAATTATTTTGTAGAGTATGCTCTCAACTGTAAAAGGCAAGGAAAGACTGGTTAGTTTGAAGCTTTTCTATTTAAAAAAAATAAATTATTAGTGCTTTCAGCATATTTTTCTGAATTTTTCTAATATGAGCATGGTTTAGTTTAATAATCAGGAAAAAGTTTTTTAAATGTATCTTATGAAATAGAGCTCAATGTATCAATTTGGGTAAATCTTAAAAATATTGCATGTATTTGTGTATGGTGGGTGTAAACAAGTTGTAAGGCCTATCAGTATATTCTGAAATGCTGAATAATACTGTTTGCTTAAAGTTAAAATGTATGTTATTGGGCGATACTTATACATTTCTCATAAGAACAATGAGGACAATAGCACGATGGCCACCCCTCTGGACAGTGTCATCTCTGGGAGAAGGGGAAAGGGCTCAGAATCGAGGAGGGATATACCAGGCCTTCAGATGCACCTGGGAGTTTTCTTTCTTTAGTTGGGTCCATGTGTATCCATTATGTCGTGTCTGTGCTTTTTGTATGCTGAAATATTTCGCAATATTTTGTCCCTTCTTTCCTCTGATAACCCCTAACACCCTAAAAAAAGAGTCATTTTATGATTGTGGTGGTCCATGGACTACTAGAAGAAAACACTGGTTTTGTGGTCAAGCCAAAACAAAACTCAAATCACAGTTAATCACAGCATAATTCCAAACCTAATCTCCAGTCACAGCTCTTCACAGACCTCAGCTCTCATCACACAGCTCCCGTGTGCGAGTGTGCATGCTCTGTTGCCTCCGCCCTGGTGTCCTCATCAGCAGCCCAGAGAGGGGTTACTGAGGACCAGATGCGCAGAAACTCCTTTTTCACACTATCTCAAGTACTACCAGGCATACATGTGTGCCTCGCTTACTGCTCTCTGTATTCCTTGAAATACTTTATCACTTTTCATACCAGGAAATAAAATCCCTTTCCAATCTATAGTATATCATTGGCAAAACATTAATTGAAAGTAATCCTTGCCTTGTTTGATATCATCTAACCATGCTGTCACTGATTTTTCATCTCACTAAAATGAGCAGATGCAGTGTCGACGACTCTGGTGCAATAACGGGGACGGAGGAGACGGAGCGAGTAAAGGCTGCCGGACGCAGCACACACCGTGGGCTGATGGGACAGAGTGCGAGCCTGGAAAGGCAAGTAACGCGCCAACCTTTCCTTCTGTCTTGGGCCAGAAATGGGCAAGATTTTAGCTGCAGGCTCAGTCACCACTGTTTAGAATGTAAGTAAGTGCAGTGTCTTTTAGCATACATAATACTTTTTTAAGGCAAGGGGTTCAGCTTTGCTATTGAAAATTATGAAAACATTATTGTATACTATTCATAGACAGACATGGCTATCACTATTGCCTCCATTTTAAGACATTCTTTTTCTCATTTTCACATTTCCAAAATTCCAATGTGTTTTTAATTTATGGGTACATTTAATGTGTGGTAGCATTTTTCTTCTTTCAGTCTCCTTTTGGGGTTGCAATGGACGTCTATTATTTTATGATGAAGCTTATTAAAATCAAGGAAATGCAGAAGTACAGTAAACTTACTGTTTTTACTGCTGGAATACCAGACTTTTCCAAACTTTTGTCCCTTTAAGAAGTAATGATGTCACTTGGGATATATCCAAGTCCAAATTCTCATTTGGTTATCCTGGTTTCCACTTATTTGTTAGTAACCAAACCAAATCCACTACTTGCATAGCCCAGTGATAAATAACAATCTCCCATGCACCTAGGAGTATGATTAATGTAACCTGCTTCACCTAAAGGTACTATGTTTGTGATACCATCATCTTCACTTAAAAAATTTAGTTAGAACTGCTTTATATATGAATCCTGATATTTTTTAAATCCGTATGAAAAATGGCATTCTGTCACCTACCAGCGAGGCCATCCTTGGACTATATTCTGAGCCTTTTGTCTTTCTTCCATATATTTTTTCTGTCTTCTCTCTTCTTCCCATTGTCTACTTTGCTCACTTTAATATTTCATTCTCATCTCACTTTTTTCCTCCACTTTACATTGTAGAATCAATGGCACCAGAATATTTCCACAGAAGGGGTACTAAAGAAATGACAGAACTTAATTCTCTGTAACTAATTTTATAGATAGGAAACAGGAAAAAGAAGTGACTCGCTCAAGATCACACAGTTCATTCAGGGCAGAGCCCCGCCGACACCTGAGCCCCTGCCCTCCTTAACTCCCTCCTTCATTTGTTCTGAAGGGGCGGGAGGGGCTGAGGAGTGCTGTGTTGGCTATAGCTGAGCTCCTTCAGTTTCCAGTGGTCAAACAGGAGGACTAGTGGTTTCTTCAATTCGTCTCTCAGGGCGGTTATAAAGTTACATGAGCTGGAGGGCATGAAAGGTGTTTTAAAAACACAAAGTTCAATACAAAAATTAAAAATCACAAGATGATTTTATATTTGATTTGGTGACCAAGTCACCTCAAGTTATCACTTCTTAATGGCTAGGACCTCAGCAATTAAGTATATACATTTCCCCCAATAACAACCTCACCAAAACTATATATAGTCATAGGTATAACAACTTTTGTACCTTTCATTGAGCTTAAAAAGAAATACATCTCCTTGGTCAGAGTGAATCTTTCACTTTCTACGGGACATTTAACTCAACATGTTAATGGCCAAGGATCATACCTTTGAAGGGAAATATGGCTGTTAGGTTTCCATGGCAGCCAGTAAGCATTCACTCTTTGTTATGAAATGAAGTGGCCTCAGAGTCCTTCTAAACACAGTGACCCAGACAGGTGCTACCGGTTGATGGGAAATGAGAGTCGACATGATCCCCAGTTGATGATTTGGTTAGTTGGCTTGATTTAGAGCCAGCCAGCTATATTACTTGTGTAGAAACTGTTTAATCTCAGAAAAATCACTGGTATTACGTTGTGGTTTTTAGTTAATTTGAGGGCACCCGCCTAATATGTCTATTTCTGACCATGCTACTGCTTTAAAAACTGTAACAATGAAGGATTCTCAATAATATGATGGAGTGAATTATATTTAGTAAACTTGTCACGAACAGGCTTCCAAGTGCCATTTACTGATGTGGCATCTCAATCAGTCCTGGAACACAAAAGAACATGGGAGGATGTCTTGTGTCTTTTTCTAATCTTCTGTTTTTGTAGAAGCAGAAGATAAGAGATTGCAGGCTAATCTTTTACCTGAGGGATGGGCTATCTGGGATATCTTTCAGAAGATGATGTATGCTTGTGTTCAGCAAGAGTAAAGGACTTCAAGGCATTCCAAAGAGCAGATGCAGAACACTTTTGTATAAGCAATGCTGCAGAGAAAATGATAGGTACCTTTTAAATTGTGTTTTAGAAAATTGAAAAAAAAAAAAAAAAGGTGGCCAAGTGTAGTAGCTTTTACTAAAGATGTGGGTAGATGTGTTTATTCCCCTGAAGAATATTTATGCATTTTTACAAATGCCCGAAATGGTGGGTATGTTGGTATAGAAATTCTTTGGCTCCTTCATTTTGTTTTCATAGACTTGGCAGTAAAACCATATGCCTTTTCTCTAGCAAATTCTGCCTCCCTTTGCTGAAGGGTTAATTTTTTTTTTTTTTCTTTCTCTTCTTTCTGCCCTGTTCCCTCAGGAGTGATCTGTCTTGGGCTGCTGACACAATGTTGTTTTGATGAATGACTCTAATGTCTCTTTATTTTCTTCATTCTCTTGTTAAGTCCATTAACATTTTTATTTTAACCCTGTCTGTGAGTCTCAGGTTTGAAACTTTTGTTTTAAACCTCATTGGGATGAAATTGATCACCAAGTCAGTTTTCCAACCTTTTTTTTTTTTTTTAAGGGGGTTTGGAGATTACTTAGGTAGAATGTCATTTAAATGGTTCTGGACACTTTTAGGAAAGGCTGACTGTATTTTGGCTGGGACCCCACTAGCCACTTAATGCTTTGTTATGATGTAATGGGTATTCCAGTATGTCATGATTGTTTGTCAAATTTGCCTGGAAAAATAGATTATCTTGGTACGTTTTTGCCAAACAGCCCTGATTTCCAGGCTCTGTCACCTCAAGCACTTCCCCTGTTTTTCTGAGGTTCTTCCTCTCCTTTGAACACCCATTAATGGTCATATCAGCAAGGCATATTTCATTTGCAGAGCAGTTTGAAGTTTTCTTTTTAAAAGAGACCATGTGAGGACATTTGAGTGTAGGGCTGAATGATAGCACTTTGCTAATGGCAGCACCTATGTCTTTATTTTGCTCTGAAGTTTACTGTTTGTTCTTATGTGCAAGTAGAGTCTATAGAATAGAGAGATCAACAGACTGAAGACTTAAGTGTCACGAGGTGAAAAATGTATTTCCAGGTAATTTCTCATTATTAAACTCCATGAATCTTCAAAGGATTTTTCCTTACTTTGTAGAATTTGTAAAATGTATATCTGGCACCAAGACTTGAAGGCTAAATTTGGGCATAACAGCTATGACCTCAGTTATATATTAATTAGAAATTTTGTTCAGGTCAAACCCAATTATAATAGTGTAAGGAAATTGGCCTTATTCTGACACACACACAAAAAACTAGTCCATAATTAAACAAGTTATGGAGCTGTTATGGTAGTTCCACAAAATCATCAGAGACCCAGACTCTTACTTTTTTCCTGCTCCACTGTCATATGCAAATGGTCATGATCCTCAAAGTCACAAAATGGCTGCAGCTCCAGCCATCAAATCTGAGTTTCAGGCCTGACCAATAATCAAGTGTAAATGTTTGCCATTGTTATTACTAGCTTTATTGAAGTCTGGTCCTCTGTGTGCTCAGCTGTGTACTAGGTGCTGTAGACATACCGTTCCATGTTATACTCAAGATAACTTTGGCAGGTACATCTTCATTTTTGATCTGTGGAGGCAAAGTTAAGTGACTTGCCCAAGGTCACAGAGTTAGTTTGTGGAAACTGGATTTTTGCCTGCTAAGCTTTGTCCCTGCACTGTCAAATATGGCAACCTTAGGCACATGAGGCTGGTGAGCACTCGAAATGCCAGTCTGAACTGAGATGTGCTTATGGGAAAAAACACACCAGGTGTTGAAGGCTTAGTATGAAAAAAGTATTTTAAAAACTCATTTATAATTTTGTATTGATTACATATAGAAATAATGTTTAGATATTTTGAGCTAAATAAGCGATATTAAAATTAATTTCAGGGATTTTTATACTTGTTTTAATGTGGCTTTTATAAATTTTTAAACTTAATAAATACAGGACTCAGGTTATATTCTTATTAGGTAGTGGTAGTCTAGAGCAAGCTGCTTCTCTCGCTTATCTTTACATGCATATGTCCCGAGAAATGTTCAAGAACGCTGTAGAGACAAGCATACAGGGATTTCTGGGAGCGATGCAGTCACCTCTGCCTCTGCCCACATTTCTTGGGTATGGAGTTACCTAGAATTCTTTGGACGCAGCAGAACCTCCTAAGCCTCAATCAAACAGCCCAGGGAGAGGGATGTGTCCTCAGATACTCTAAGAGGATAAATAGAAGGGAGAAAGCACAGCAGAATAGAGGAAGATTCATTATAGTCTTTAAATAATTTTTCACCAAGCTTTTCCTGGTACCGGCCATTCCAACTGGGACCTTCACCTGCCTCTTATTTGTCCACTTTCCTCGCATATATCCCCCTCCCCAGCCTTTGTGGCTCCACACCTTTGTCCTCCCTGTGGCTGGATCACAGCAGAGCCCCTAGCTCTGCCTGGAGATCTGAGAGAGCTGTGGGGTGTCACCCTCCTGCCACCACGGCTGCCATTCTTCCTTTGTGCCCCTGTTCAGTGACCTCGGCTTCGTGTCAGGGCCTCATACTCAACAATGGCAGAGGGCTCAAATGGGCTTCTTGATTCTCTTGTCCTGCTGAGGACTTCTTTTTTTGTTTGTTTGTTTTATTGTAAACATCATGGTCTTCTTCCTGCTCCAGGCCACAGAATATGAAACCATTGGTAGCAAAAAACCAATGAAATTTAGGGCTCTCTGTAATGTGTCCATTTTGCTGTAGTGTTGTCCGTGTGCTTTGGTGGAATGAGTATATAGGAATCCTATAACTAGCTTTTTTTCTTTTCCTGTGTAATTGAATTAGGTTTTCAAATCCATGGAAAGCAATAAAGCATTATATTTTAGCAGGCTCACAACATCTCTGAGTCTAGTTAATGGAGAGTTGCTATGCAAATCCACTAATTCATTTTGTCCCTATCTGCAGCCAGTCTGTCCATTTCCACTCCTCAGTTTTTGAAGTAAACTAATTGAGCACCTCAAAGATGGCCACTGGGCTTACCCTGACAACCTCTCATTGGCCAGTTTTATTCAAGCAAATTGTAAATGGAGAAAGCCTACAATCAAAAGTATGAGAATAAAATCCCTGCAGCTTCCATTATTCATATGGATGATGAAATTGCAGCATGTCACACCAGCACATGGAAAACAATTAGAATCAGGTGTTTTTGAAAGGACAGTGGGCCCTACAATGTCTCAAGCACCGAGCTCTCCTTCATTGTTCCCCTTATTAAATACAGCACTGCAAGTTTGGATTTTGTGTTCCCAAAGAAATGGAGGGCCCTGTGACTGATGGATCCTGGGGAAGTTGGACTCACTTTGGAACGTGCTCAAGAACGTGTGGAGGGGGCATCAAAGTTGCTGTTCGGGAGTGCAACAGACCGGAGTAAGTCCTAGAACTCAGCACTATTATCAGTGGGTTAGCAGGAAAGCAAAATGCCTAATGGGAATATTTAGCTGGAGGCAGATAAAGAGCTCTTTCCAGATTAAGCGAGTGGGTAGACTTGAGGGCTGCCAAAATGAATGGTGTCCAAGCTCTGTGCCTGGGCACTTCCCTTCTGTATTATTATTTTTCTCCCATGACCCTTTATTATTAAAAGTTCTATCTTCTGAACAGTAGGTACTTTTGTGTTGATTGGCCTGTTTAACAATTTTGACAGTCAGGAATCTCTCACTGCTCTCCCACCCCCAAGAGCTTGGGATAGCATGCTAATAAAGTGAACAGATAAATTTTTCACAAGGAAACAGAGATTGGTCATTTACATTGAGACTGTGGATAAATATATCCAGTTAGCTTCTGAAATGCTGCAAAGGGTACATAGACACCCAAGGCAGCATAGCAGATCCCAAGGGACCTGGGATACCAAGGAGAAATTACTTTTTGTATCAATTTAGTTGTTTTACAAGTGAGACACCCGACGTCCCTATTGCACAACCTGACAGTTTATAGTTTGGGAGTGTCCTGCTTGTCAGTATAATTCTCATTATGCGACCAGCCTAACCTTGTTAAAACCTGCATATTCAAATAAAGCCAGTGGGGTTTTTTTCCCTAGCATCTATCATGGTAGACCTCTGTCTGCTGGGGAGGCTGTTTTTACAAGTAGGATTTAAAAATTGCTATCTTGGTTTGAGGAATGACATCCAATTTTGTGTGGCTATAATCTGTATCAAATTTAAAGGAAACGAATATAATACATGACATTGTTGCCACTCAACCTATATAGGCCGGGGACCTCAAGCACAGATTCGGTATAGTTTTTAGATGTAAAAAGCAACAACCATTTTTAAAGAACCAGCTACTTGGGGATGATGTAAAATGATTTTGCCCAGCAATATTCATTTTTAACAACCTGCAACAGGATAGCAGACTGGGTTGTAGAGAGAAACATTAGGGTAGAGTAGCAAAGTTGGCTGATTTCGTACAACAGGATTGCATTGCAGAGTGGTGGAGACCAAGTGCGGGGTGCTTTGTGGATCTAGCTGATTGTTTTTGCAGGTAGGAAAAGGGTCTACTATTGACACAGCTTCCAAAATTTGTGTAAGAAATATCTGAGTTGTGTGAACTGAAAAAGAGCATAGCTATAGGCCACTGTTGCAAGCCCTGGTCTAAATAGATGCTCTGTAATACAAAATACAGATGATAATCAATTTATTTTAATATATTTTTGTTTATACCTCAACATTTAGTTGATATTCACATATTATTAGTCTCTATAGAAGACAACCAAAGAGCTATAAGATATAGACTCTGGTTTATAGCTATGCATATTAACTAATAAACATTAGGTTTGCCTATATTTAGTATTAATTTTTAAATAATAATATAAAATAGTACATGTTCTTAAAAATTCAGATGACAAATATATGATATAAAGATTTCTTATCATCGTATTTCTAACCCCCAATCATCCCTACAAGAAATAACTACCAAAAAAACAATTTTATGTATATTCTTTTGTAATTTCAAACAAGATTGTAGATGTAACTTGTAGTATATGAAATAAGTATCACACAAAATAAGGATCACACTGCATATAGTGTTCTACAAATTGCTTTTTAAAATCAAATATATATCATTGTTGAAACGTTACAATATTTTAAGCTAACGATAAATATGAATTTTTTAAAAAATTGAAAACTATGAGGTGATTACATTGAGCCAAATTACTATTATCGTAAGCTATATTATTATGAGGGTATGGATATTGCAAATAGTAGGCACTTTTGACATTTTAACTCAAGAATGTTTGACGTCCAAAGAAGTGTTTGGTCTTTTTTCTTTCATTTCCCTTCTCTTCCTCTCCTCTCCTCCCCTCTCCTCTTCTTTCTTCTCTTCTCTTCTCTTCTCTTCTTTTTCTCTTCTCTTTTTTAAGAATTAGAGCAATTCTAGAAGTGCTGTGGAAAGTAGAGAGAGAGATAAATCACTCCTTAATTGGAATGGGCCAGACAAAGAAAATCACCCTGTGAAAGGATCTCAGCAGGAAAGAATCTTGAGCTTCAAAGTAAAGTGAAGATCCTCACATTCAGAAGTTAGGAACCAATCATTAAAGACTTCAGTTAGAGGTCCTTGTGCTTGCTGTTTGCTATGGGAGGTTTTAAAATGACACAATCCACCTAGCTGAGTGTCTGTACTGACATCACTTCATTAAAACGCCTTCAAGTTATTTGCACCGTGGAATGTCCCTGTGCACTAAGGAGTGTGCCTCTGAAACTGAGGCACCAGGGAAGTAAATTTGATGAGAGAAAGGGACACAAAAAAGGGAAAAGCAGATTCAAATCTCATTTTAAAAGCTTGTTCAGAGCAATTCACAGAGCAGATGGCTCATTATGTAGAATATGGAAGTGGTTGCTATCCTGATTCTCAGTTTGAGGGGCACGGTCCCCTCTCCTGGCAATCTGCCTTTTCTCAGTTTGAGGAGGCCCGAGATTTTAACTAGAGCTCCACTTTTAGAATCCAAGCTTATCTCTATTAAGAACACTGGATTGTTTTTATTTTTTCACAGTATTCATGTGATTCAAGAATGTATTTATTTAACACCCAGACATGATATGCTCTGTTTTTAGGGGTTTTTTTTTTTTCCTTGAAAGTATAGAAGCTAAAAAAAAGAGGGCGTGTGAGAGATAACCACACATTGATGTTTCTCTCCCCCTCTTTCTCTGTCCTTTCACCTCTGTCTAAAAACAAATAAATAAAATCTTAAAAAAAGAAAAAAGAAAGAGAAGTAGCCTTGCCATCACATGGATTGTCCTATGAGCAAGCTGTATAAACCATGTGCTTTCTAATTTTAGTCCAAAAAATTTTTGTTCTCAGTTTGTGTACAGTGCTACAGGGATGCCATAAGACAACAAGACCCTAATATTTTGTTTTTAAACACTTTCTTTATTTTTCTTAATACCATTTTTGGCCTATGTCCTACAGGTAAAATAAGCATTTGTTCTGATTTCTAAGAATGGTCCAGTTTATATCTGTCATCCTGGAAATGTTTAATAGCTCCCTTTTTAATTCTCAAAGTGTCCTGGATTGGACAACTAATTATATGTTCACCAAATCTATGAGAAATATGTAATAGGGTAAAAACTTAAATTGGAACCACCAAATCGTAAGAGAGTATCAGCAAGACCAGCATTGGAACTAGAAGGTGCATTCTCAGGCCAGTGGGCTCATACTTGTTTTTTTAGCTCTGAGCTTCCTAGTGACTGGAAAAAAAGTGGTTTATGGAATTGTCACAGCCCATGGAAATAAAAAAAAAAATCAAGCCAGTTCTTTAGGTAACTCAAAAGTATTTCCCTCTTCTAGTGCTTCTGTTTTGTTTTTCAACTAGGAAGTAGGTTCAATTTTAAAATAATAATAAATTCATAGACCTGAGAAGAGACATGATTGTGAACTGGATATTTCTCATTTAGGCTTTCACCATAGCAACTGCTGATAAAATCTTACATAAAAAAGAGTATACATATGTCTCTTTCATCTAAGAAAGCAAATCTCTCATTTGGCTGTGAAGAATTGAAGCAAAGGTTTTTTGAAGCAGAGTTGGATGAACTTACTTGAAAATGTTGCAAATTGGCTACAGTGGGAGAGCCATTAACTAATGAATTAATGTCCAGTTCCATAGACTGCTGCATCTGGCAAGATCATCAGTGATGACTAGTATAGCTTCCTGGCTCATCCCATGTAATCCTTGAATAGAGTTTCAGCATACTCTGTAGTTGGCCATTTGGCTCTTCCTCTAAATCCTCCAAGCATAAGAAATACACTACCTTCTGGGGCTGCCTGTTGCATCATTACAAATTTCTTCCTTGTGCTGACCCTAAAAAACTTGCCCTAACCTATTGTAAGTAAGTGTAGAAGTTGAGATTTCTGTTCAAACCCATTTGCAGACTAAAGGTTAGCTTTCCTTGAGGGTAGAATGCACCTGTGATGATCTTTGCAAAAATTCCTTCATCTTTGGCCAAGAGGCATTGCAAATTTTCTTTGTATGTATGAATAGACATGGTTGTGCTTAAAAGAAAGATTCAGTTTGCCTGTGCTAAATATAGTTACTTTCATAGTAATTAATCCAGCAATTTCCTAAGTCCTTTCCATCCCTATTTGACATCCAATATTTTTAAAAGATCTTAGTAGTTGGAAAATGTGGTTAATATTTTTTCCAGTTGCATTTCCTATAATTTTTAGTATTTTCCTACATGGAAAAAATATCCCTAACCAGCTAAATTACTAAAATATAAAATGAATTTTTCCCATACTGAAAGTTAAGTTGGCTAAGGCCTTTCCCCTTACACAGTACATGCCAATCAGGCAAAGATCATATAGGCTAGGATATAAGATAAGCCATATATTTCAAAAGAGCAAATTTACATTTATTAATAAAATATAATCTGCCTTTTTATAAAGAGGAAATAAGATCAAAGGAGGAGTTTTGATATGGAAAGAGTCCTGTTTCAAGAGAGGCAGCATAGCAGAGAGGCCAGATTGTAAGTGAAAGGTCAGGGAGACCTGGGTTGGACTCAGCCAGTGCATCGCATTTAATTGGCACGTGACCTTGCCAGAATACTTAACATTTCTGAGACCGGTTCCAACAAAGTATCAGAAACAAGAATGCCACTACCTACCTCACAACATGTTCACGCATAGTCATAAGAATAGCTCAAGGGCCAGAGAACTTTTTCATAAACAAATGCTTTTTCTATAAAATATTTCTTAAGTATTTTAGACTTTGAGGATCATAGGTGCTTTGTCTCAACTATTCAACATTGATGATACAGTAAGAAACATACATAGACAATATGTAAAGAGTGGGTTTGGCTGTGTTCTAATAAAACTTTATTTGTAAACACTGAAATTTGAATTTGACATAATTATTATACATCCCAAATTTTAAAACACTTTTCCTAATTATTTTTTTCAGAAGTACCTATTACTCTCTTTAGCTTTATTGAAAACACTTACTGTGTGACTTTTGTCAAAAATGGCAAAAATAACTCCTCTCTTTCCCTCCCTATTTTAAAATGTAAAAAACATTATTTTTCTCACCAGTTATGCATAAAACAGGCAGTAGGCCAAATTTTGGCCCACACACTGTAGCTTGCAGACCCTTGTAATAGCTAAACATTTACTGTGTGGCAGGCCTTGTTCAAGTGCTTTGAATGTATTAGCCTAGTTAACCCTCACTCAGCCTTATGAAGTGGACATTATTAATATCATTTCCCTTTTACAGATAGGGGTACAGGCTTAGAGAATGAAGTGACCTGCCTAAGATTTTACTGTTATTAATAGGCAGGGCTGGGATTCAAACCCTCTTGTTTTTAGGGTTCATCTTTGTAATCCTCAGAAATATGGCCCCTCACATAGACTATTTTCTATGTGCTTTTTATTTCAAAAGTCATTTATAAAAATAAATCACTAAATGCTATTTACCATTTGATAGTAGTCAAAGCAGGCAAAGATGGAAAGTCACTATCTGTAGGAAAGCCACCTAAAGCATTAACTGTTTGCAGCCCAGAGCTCTGCTGCATTTGATCAATTGCAAAAGTCAGCTAAGACTAACTAGGTAACAAAACCAAAAGAAAAAAAAATGAACTTCTAAAAAATTTTATTTTCAAAGAGAAAGAAATGTGATTTTTATTCAGGCAATAAATAAATGACCAATCCACCATAGTTAGTTGGACCATTTAAAAAGATTGACAAAGATCATTTCAATTTGAGTAAAACTTGCAGCACATTTAAAACAAGTTTCACCTGAACAACTGTGTGGGCCTGATCTATTATTCATGTGTACCCTGATATTTTATGCATGAGACTGGGTGCCTCTGTAGTGAGAGAAGAGCTTGGTATCCAGGAAACCAAGGCTGTATGTATCTCTAAATGGCATCAAAAGAGAAGAATAAAAGATTCTGGACCATAGCTCCTGGATAATGTAGCAGAAGGAACATAGAGAAGGAACCTGAGAAACTTGAATTCCAGTCCTGTCTCTCTGCTTTTTTATTATCTGTTTCACCTTGGGCAAAGTACTTGACTTCTCTGAGCCTCCTCTTGCTTGGTGTAAAATTACTTCTGCTTTTCTCTTGGGCGAAACATGAGTGAGTTTTGACTATTCAAATGTACAATGCAGATATAAAGCTTATGGGCCTAGTTGTGTTTAATGGGAAAACAATCAGACAGATGCTGCTGATTTATGTGCCATTTCGCATCACTAGGTGCAGTCCTCTTCATGATAAATATTTACCAGACTCAGATACATAACAAGCCTTTCGTGGGCACAGTATCATCTCTGCTTTACATGTACAGGAGCTCAGAGAGGGCAGGGAGTTTACACAGAAGTGCCCAGCTTGTAACTGCAAAGCCTATGCTCTTACCTTGCTCTATAAATCTTTGTTCAAGGGAGCACGTTTATGACAGCGTCATGGCCAGGTGGCCTTTCCTGAGACTTAGGTACTCTGAAGGAGCACTGAGTCCTGCCTCACAATGCAAACCATGCTGCAACTGTACTCAGAACAAGCAAACTGTTGAATTGGATCAGGTTAGATTAGGAGTACTCATATAATATCATAGAAGTTAACATTTCAGGCATCTACTGTGTGCACTTATTTTAGGAAAGGAGAAAAGTGAAGAACAGGGAGACTAAGAACTTTGTCTAAGGTCACACAGTGAGGACAGAGCCAAGTGTAGAAGCCAGATCCAACGTGTACCTGCTCTGCTAGGCTGCCCTTTGTTTTGTACTGTATGAGCTTGGATACACTTCCCATTCCCCCAAGGCCAGGTTTAAGAAAACAAAACAAAAAACATTTCTTTATAGTCCAAATCACTCTGAAAGATATATTTCCAAGAAGAAAGGTGGGAAGGTTTGAGAGGTGTCCCGGGGTAGTAGTGAAATCTGAGCTGCTCCAGCCCTGGGTGGGTGAGCCAGACTTCCTATGATTCTGTGATCATCCAGTTTCCATGATGAATTTGGCAAGTCGTTGACTGCCGGGGGATGTGTTGTATAATTTACTCTCTGGGTCACATCTGGAAAATACATGTACGGGTTGCATGCAAAAGTTAATTTTGTACTGTGATGCTTTGTAAGACATACCCCATTCCCTTGTCACATAAAAGGTAATGAAGCCAATATGCTCTCTCCTGCTTCTCCTATTAACTTAGTCAAAATACAGGCAAATTCATTCCCTTTATTCCATCTTATTTGTAAAACAAACAAAAACCATGGTTATTGGTGGGGGAAGAGGAGGGAGAGAATGAATGGAAGTGGAATGCAAAGGTTTAGAGTGGTTTCCCCGTGAGAATATCAGTAGGAAAGGTAAACAGGGGACATTTTACTCATCTGTACCTTTCCCCTTCTACATTTTTTAAATCGAATGACTGTGTATGTTTGGGAGAAGGAGGAGAGAAAATGGCATAATAGATTCCAGGCTTTGTATTTCATACTTGAAGTTACACACTCTATTACTTTATCCTCACAACAGCCTTACCAAACAGCACCTTCCCATTTTACAGATGGGAAGGACTGAGGCTCCAGGTTAAGTGACTTGCCCAAGGTTAGACGCTTAATGGTGTTGAAGGCAGAATGCAAACCCAGATTTTAGAGCCCTTGTCCTGTTCTCTGTCACCAGATACTTCAAGTTTAGTTCCCTACAAGACAGGATGCCACAGATGAGAGAGTGATGTGTGAGAAATACATTATAAGACAGTGTATGTGTTCTTTACCTTTTCTCAGGCCAAAAAATGGTGGAAAGTACTGTGTAGGGAATAGAATGAAATTTAAGTCTTGCAACACAGAGCCATGTCTCAAGCAGATACGAGACTTCCGAGAGGAACAGTGTTCTCAGTTTGATGGGAAGCATTTTAATATCAACGGTCTACCTCCAAATGTGCGCTGGGTGCCTAAGTACAGTGGAAGTAAGTTTCTCGGGGCGGTACCCGTGGTTGGCAGGCTGGTGCAGGTCCAGGCACAAAAGTCACATTACATTGTGTCTCTCCTCTCTAGTTTTGCTGAAGGACCGATGCAGGTTGTTCTGCAGGGTGGTAGGGAGCACAGTCTACTATCAGCTCCGAGACAAAGTGATAGATGGGACCCCGTGTGGTGAGAACACCAGTGATATCTGTGTCCAAGGCCTTTGCCGGGTAAGTCCCAGATGGTGTTTTTGTCACTGTGTTGTCTACTAAGCTGTGGTTTGTGGCTTTCTTGACAGAGTAACAGCTGCTAATTCCTGTGCACTATCTCTGGACAATGGTTCTCAAAGTGAGGTCCCCAGAGCAACATCAACATCCCCTGATTCTGATGCATGCCAAAGTTTGAGAACCACTGCCCTGGATTTTTTTCAACATTATCGGCCTCTCTGGGGGTCTGCACAAAACCTCCCTGTGAAGATTTATTACAATAATTTTCACACACACTCCTTTACTATAAACTCTGTGCTTAAAGTTAAATGCAAATGCTTCCTGACTGCAATTTCTAAGTTGAATAGCTCTGCTCCAGAATGATCATGGGAGGAAAAGCAGGCCTCACTTAGATCTGTCTTTCTGATTTTAAGCAGGATAGCTTTTACCTGAGACATACCTGTTATTTACTCTTCGAAGGGAAATCCAGAAACTTCTGGCCAAGGGTAAAGCATCAGAGCAGTAATTTTTCAAGGACTTGATACCATTTCACTTTGTTCACAGTCAGAAGTCATTCCTAACAGAGCAGGATTATGAGATGTTATCTTTCTTTCTTTCACGTGGTCCATGGCAGATTGGAGCTCCCGACAGGGAGGACCTGATTGACAGAGCCCCTGAGAGCATTCCCACGTCCCAGTTCATGCCTGACAGTGCACATTGCCTCCTTGTCAGTCCATGTTATAGCAGCACTTGCGTTACTCCTCAGAGACTAGTTCATACAAAGGAACCAAATGGACTACAGCATGAACTCAGTCCTCCTAGTCTTCTGGTTATTGCTGTTGTCCTCAGACCTCCATCTACACCTGTGCTTTGCATTGTGATGTGAAGAAATTCAGTAGGCTATTTGAAGCCTCAGGCCTCAAACTAGTGGTCTGCAGCCATCTCTGTCCTCCATTCATGGTCAATATTTAACCATAGACAACTTCACATAAAACAAATTTTCCAGCTTGTCTTGAAAAGTTGGGAAATGTCAACACTGGGCTCCTGTTTCTATGTGATGGTGATGGAGGTAGCCTGGAGTGGACAGTGAGTGGCTGCTCCCTTAAGATGGGATGTGAGCTCTTTAATTGGGTACAGTCCTCACTGCTCCTTTTTTCTAATCCCAAGTGATTGTTCTCATTTACTCCACTTATCTGTAGACTAGTGCTTCTCAAACTTTAATCTTTAGATGCAGCACCTAAGGAGCCTGTTAGCATGCCAAAAAACCTACTGTGATTCAGTAGGTCTCAAGAGTCTGCCTTTCTGACAGCATCAGGGATTCTCAGGGCTGCTGGCCTACGGACCACATTTTCCACAGCAAGTTTGTGTTCGCAATCCTTGCAAGCTTAAAGAAACTTAACTTGCTTGTCATTTTGAATGTACATCACTCAAAAAAAAAACAAAAACAAAACAAAACCCAGATTACTTGTTGTTTTATAATCTTTATAATACTTACCATTTATTTCAAATGTTTTCTTTTTAAAAGCAAGCTGGATGCGATCATGTTTTAAACTCAAAAGCCCGGAAAGATAAATGTGGGGTGTGCGGTGGCGATAATTCTTCATGCAAAACAGTGGCAGGAACATTTAATACAGCAAAATATGGTAAGATCATGTTCCTAACAACCATGAGACAGAGAGTGTTCAAAGTGTGAGAGTTGTTCACTATATGTAATATGTAAAAGTAATAATGTCAAGCGTTAAGATCAGCCTTGTTGAGGGGCATTACCCATCTGGCTATAGGGCACCTAATAGTGAGAGTTATATTATATTCCTTTGTTTCCCACACTTTTTTCCATGCTTAGAGAAAGTGAACCATGCTATAGATTACTGAATTTCTGCCTAATTCTTTTCAGGTTATAATACGGTCGTCCGAATTCCAGCTGGTGCTACCAGTATCGATGTGCGGCAGCACAGTTTCTCAGGGAAACCAGAGGATGATAACTACTTAGGTGAGATGGGTGCCCCTACTATTTTCAGGAATTCTGGCCTTCTGGAGCAGTTAGCAAATATTAACGACTCCTTTTCCGCTATTGCTCATGGAGAACTTTCAGGTGTCATGTATTTTCATAAAAGAAATTGATCTTGACCTTCACTATTTTATTTCTCCCTCACATGTACACCCTCAGAGTATTAATTTGAGAGTCATGTAGATATACTAGTCAATATCAAGGGCTTTACTATGAATCTTTAAAAACAGAAAGGTCCTGAATCCAATTTTGAAAGTACTTGCCTTGTAAGTGAGCATAAAATCATTGCTCTTTGAGTCTTTTTCAAAAAAATCTATCCTGTGGGTAACTGACTTGCAAATGTTTTATTAGAGATCTTACCTGACAATTTTTACATTATCAGCTCTAACCAAGAGCAAACCACTGGTGGACTTATTCAGTATTTCATTATGCCTGGTCAGTCCAAAAGGTTCTATAGCGACAATATTTTTCTCATGTCATTACTAGAATGGCCCACCTTGTTACTTTATAGATTCTCCATCCTTCTCTCGCCATGCTCGGGTACATGATTAATTCATATCTATTCTTTATATTTAAACCACAAGACACCAACAACCCTGTGTTCATTTTTCAACAGTTTGCTCAGCCCAGTCTCACTTCAATTTGTCATTCTGCAAACTGCAATTAGTGATTATGAAATTTGCCAACCATTTTTAACTAAAAGGGGTACATGGGCATGGGGTCATGACAGAACTGGTCACAGCCAACTTGTGCTACCAGACTCCTCTTAGCCATGAAAAGCAGCATGGCCTGCACTCTGATCTAGAGGAAGTCAGGGCAGTTTTGCTGGGCAGTCAGTTTTTAAAAGAAGCGAATGTGCTGATGTACTTTCTCTCTTAAAATGTCCAGACAGGAACTCTGTTTATCCACCTGAATACAGCTTCTGTTGAGGCTTCTCAAAATATTTGAGCATACTGAGATAGTAAATGGGTATTAGTTAAATCAAATTAAAACCTGTATCTATAATTTGGAATGTCTGTATGAAATCTTTCATCAGATAGACAATGATCCTTTAGTCAAACATGCTAATTAAATATAATACTTAAACATGACTCCATTTTAGAATTTTCTTCAGTGTATCATCATTCATTCAATCAGTGATTTATTTAATATATGCTAGGCACAATAACAAAACAGAACAAAAAATTAAAAATAAATAAAAATCTCTGTTTTCTTGGAACGTACTTTCTGGTAGGAGTAGAGCAGCAATTTTCAACCTTGCTCATCTCATGGCACACATAAACTAATTACTAAAATTCTGCAGCACACCAAAAAAAATATATTTTATGCTGATCTGACAAAAATAAGGTATAGTTTGTATTCATTCACACAGGGATGGCTATTGTTGTGTTGGTCATTTTTTTTTTATTTGATAATGGAAAAGAGGTCAGTGCTGCTGACTAAATAGTCAAGTATTGCATGTTTTAAAAATTCTTTGGACATACTAGTTGAAAAATCACTGCAAAAATAGACATTAACTTAGTAGGTGAGCAAACTATATACTGTTAGGAGATGATATATGCTATTAGAAAATAGAGCAATATAATGGAAATTATGATACTGAGGATGGGCTGGGAACAGTGGTGTTGAAATATTTGAAATAAGAGATAACAAGACACCTGAAGGAAGAACATTACAAGCAGAGGGAACAGCCAGTCCAAGATCCTTGAATGAGGAGCATGTCCGGCTTGTTCCAAGAATAGAGGGAGGCTAGTGTGGCTGGAGCAGAGTGAGCACAGAGAATCCTAGATGAGGTTAAGCCGGTAGTAGGGCTTGATCATAAAGGGCCATGTAACCACTGAAAGGATTATACTGAGAGACACAGAGATCTACCGGGGAGTTTGAGTGGGGCATAGCATGATATAATTGTTTATTTTTCAAAGTAGCATTCTGTCTTTTATGTTTAGAATAGATGGTAGGGGAGGGTATGCGGCAGAAGCAGGAAGACTGGTTAGGAATTTACTACAATAATCCAAGGGATGCTGGTGGTTTGGTCCCAAGTGGTTGCAGCAGAGATGTGGTATGTGGTAAAATTCTGGATATGTTTCGAAGGCAGAGGCATTATGCTTTGTTGATGGATTGAATATGGTGTGTGAGAGAAAGAAAGGGTGACTCCATGGTTTGGACCTGAGCAACTGAAAGGATGAAGTGACCATCAGCTGACACAAGACAACTTGTTTGTTATCTATCCATATGACCACTAGGTTTGAAGGTCAGAGGCTGTGTCTTTGTATCTTTAGCTCTTGATGTAAAGCCTACAGATGATGCTAAATACATGATTGCTGAATTGTTGAACATCCATTTCTCATTACGGAGTACCTACTGTGTGCTTAATGGGGGATGCAATTACCATGGAAATAGACAAAGTCACTCCTTCTTGTAAAGACCATGAAGTTTTACTTGGAATCAATTACTCAGTGGCTGAATCAACTTTCCACATCCTAAGTATCTAAATGAGTGGTGATTTTATAAGACAGTTAACAAAGTTCTTGGGGATTCTTTTCAAATTATTTTCTTGACAGTCCCACATTTCTCTCATTCTATTACTGTGCAAAATGGGTTAAGCATTTTTCTCCGTGCATTGGGTTATAAATTTTAGCATGTGGCCTTACTACTTTCTAATTAAATCCAGCAGCATTTCATACAGCCTCCTTTATAAATTAATTTCCTGAGAGCTGAAAACCATGTTGACCTCCTTGCTTTTCCCTGAAAAGGAGAAGGATTCTCCCTTATTCTTCTTGAACTTCTTGGAAAAGTAATCTCTTTCCAAGTAGGGGCCTCAATTCAATTCAACTTCATCAACCAGGTAAGTTACCTAAAGAGAGGAAGGCCTCCTGATAACCTTTTATTCCTCACTAGAGGCTTCTTAATCTTTTGGTAAAGAATGAAAGCAAAATTAAAGAAGATTTGTCATCTGGGACAGGCAGTCTGAGGCAGTCATAGCTCTTCAATGGAATGGTATGGTCAAGTTGTCTGTTAGCAAAAGAAACTCTCTGGATGCACATGACAAGTGTGCAAACAGAGATGGCAAGTCACAGTTCACTGAGTGTGAAAGCTGAGACTTCAGGGCCTTTGAGGCTCGCAGTGGTTTCTTAACAAGTTAGGAAGAATATGGTGTCATCATATCTAGCATGTGTAAAAGTTTGCCCTTGGCTTGAAAAAAGGTTTACTAAATGCTCTGAGAAGGTCTCCAAATCCACTGTTGGACCTTGCTCAAGTCCATTCACAGCTGTTTCATTGCTAAGCAATCTTCATCCTTCTCCCCCATGATCTTTTTAAGGTCAGCCCATCCATACTCTTGCCGCATGTTTTGGGGAGGAAGCCATTTGCAGGAGAGAGAGGGCCTCTGTAGCAGCCCAGCTCTGGTGGGTGAAATGTAGGGAAAACAAAGCCAGGAAATTAGCTCCTCTAATCATATTAGCAGGAGGTTGGGCTGTAGGCTGTTGTTTTCAGGAAACTATTTGTTTCACAAAGTACTGAAGCAGAAAGTCTCCCTGTCAAAGGTCACCGTTTCACACAGATGCCTCCCTCCTGTTGGATTAAAGCCAAGCTGTACTCAGTACCACCCCATGTTTGTATTTCTTGGGGAGAAAAAGCAGGCATTTCTGTGATACTTATTTGTCCCCAGTACATGTAGCTCTTGATTAGTTGTGGCAATGAGAAGACAGTAATCAATTCAGTTCAAGGTAAAGCGGAATGTCATTTTACCTGGTGACTCCCATCTCATTCCCTATTCACCATCTCTAGGATTAGGAGATGCAGTGAAGGGTGAAACGGTCAAGTCGGCATGAGGATGAGAAGAAGCCTGGAGATTTTGGAAAGGAGCCCCAGAGTTCACCTCAAGCAAACAATTGCTCTTTGAATATCAACAAAACTGAATTATAGCTTAATTTACAGACTGGCCTTGTGACATCTCATTTCCCCCTTTTAGGGAAACATCAACTGGGTAGTTAGCAGGCTATTTCACTTGAAAGGACTGGGTGATTTTGCTGGCAGCACGTCCTGCCATCACCACGTAAGGAAGCCACATTACAAGGCAGCCGCAGGATGCCCCAGGTGCCATGGAAAAAACTTCATCTCCAATCAGTGACCCATTGAAACTTAGGCACCTTGCCTGGCTGGTGGGTCTCACATGGTGGAAGCTGCAGGAGAGATGAGGTTGTCAGAGGTTCACGCTGACAAGGAAACAGTTACTTGGTGGGAAGCCCTCTGTTCTCCTTGTCATGAATGTCAGGTTCGGTCAATCACTCCTTGTTTCCACATTATTGATTGAGCACCTACTATGGATTGGTATCTTTCTTGGCCTTATGAAAGTACATTTTTAAATGGTCCCTTTACTAAAGGGGCCTATGCAGTCTAGAAAAACAAACAATTTAAGTTTTAAAAAAATTCATAGCTAAACATACTTGTTTTCTATTTGTACGTAGGAAAAACAGTGCATGAATTCGTTCACTCATTTAACAAACATTTGTTGACATCCTTCTTGGAAAACTTTAGTAGTTAACAGGCTTTGGAGACAGATTTCCATGATAAAAGTCATCTGGCTTTGGGCAAGTGTTTTACCAATGCTAAGCCATGCTTTTCTCATCCATAAATGAGGCATCAATAAAGGTGTGGTAAGGAGACAATGCATGTAAAGGCATTATGATCTGCCAGGAACAGAAGCCTATGTGTACTATCGTGTTTAATGTTCTTAACAATCCTGTGAGCAATCCATTATACAGCAGAAGAAACTGAGGCTTAGAGAGGTTAAGTAATTTACCAAATATCACACAAACAGAAGGAAGAATTGAAATCCTTATTGGTTTCACTTCAGACCCTACACCCTTAGTCACTTCATGTTTCTGCGTCCTTGTAGAAAATTATATGGCTAACCAGACTTGGGGATATACGTGACTGGAAATTGAGGTTTATCAGCGGGAGTAAATGGTGAGGCTGGAAAAAACAGGTCAGAATAAGATTTGTAAAGATATAAAAAAGTTATTTGAAGGAATTTGAACTAAAATTCTATAGGTATTAGGGACTACCAAAGAATGTTGACCGAAGAAAAAGCAGCCACAATTTTGCAGGGTTTTTTAAAGCTTTTTTCCTGTGTCACCACGTTCTTCCCCACCATTTCAAATGAAACATCTTATTCTTTCTTTCAGGCCCAAATGGGGATTACATGGGTGGGAATTGTGATAGAGAAGTGCTGGATTAGGGACAGATTCAATGCAGTTAATTCCTGATCCTACAAAGAGTAGTCTTTGCCTCAGTGCAGTGTCTAATTTAATGAGCTCTGTGAGGTTCCCCTGTGTAAGAAAGCAAGAACCTTACTGCTGTTGATCCACAAAGAATATTCAGAGCTTGCCTCAGCCCTCTTTGATCACCACATAATGGTAAAATACCTACTTCTCCCTAAATCCTCTAAACTTCTCCTACATACACATTGCTTCTGCCTGCATGGTAAAAGACAGTGTACTATCTGTGTTGATGAAAGACAGGTGAGGATCTGGCAAACACTTAGGACATTTGGGCCACTCGCCATCCCACAACCGAGACCAATTTCCATTAAAATGATGCCAAGACATGAAGCTGCCAATGACTCCTGTCCAGCACAGTTTCCTGGTCAGCTAGTATCACCTGGTGGACACTCATGCTCAGGAAAAAATCTATTTGCTATCCATGAGTTAAATTTCCATGTTACCCTTATTCACTGAAACACATAGCCTGGACATTTCAAGGGTTCCTTTCCTGCTGAGATGTGCTAATCACGCACAATTTAAACCCTTTGGTAAGGGTTTTTTTTTTCCTAGTGTTTTTTTTTCCTAGTGTTTTTTTTTTCCTAGTGTTTTTTTCAGAGCCTGAATGTTCAATAGCTCTGATTTGTTGAGTGCCTATTTCATGTCCAGCCCAATACTCAGAGGATTCATTATTCAAGGTGCAGAGGTACTGGGGGGTCGGAGGGCTAGTATTTAAAACCAAAATTTTAATAATAAATAATGGGGAAAATTGATCAAAAAGTATGAAAATAAGTTTATTTTTTCTTATTCTTATATTCAACCAAATTACATTTTAATTTCTGTCATGCCCAGGTTTTGAGAATGGAGGATAAAGCAGTTGATAAATATGTTTGCCTAGATTTCCAGTCAAGTTGTATATCAAAGTAGTATATTCTTCACTTAATATTGGAATTTAACAGTAAACTCTGAAAAGGGTCATTTTTTAAAGACTTCTGGGCCTTAATTCACTTTCACAAGAGTCTCTCTTGACACTTTGATAAATAAATTATTCTTCTGGAAGCAGTGGTCACCTCATTCTCCTTGTCTGTTCTCTTTCCATGTTTCTCACTGGTCGGACTGTCAGGGTCTCTGTTGGCCAATATTTTGGCACTTGAGGCAGGCAGTTCTCCAACATTACTTTTTCAGCTTTACTGTTTGTTCCATCTTTTGCAAGATCTGCAGTAGATTCATTTATTCAGCCAAAGAGACTATTTATTGAGCATCTATGTACCAAGTGCTCTTTCAGAAGCTGAGATATGCATAGATGAGAATAAGACAGTCCCTAAATCCTTGTCCTCATGAGGATAACACTCTTGTTTGGGGAGAGAGTGCATAAACAAAGTGCTGTGGAGAGAAATGAAGGTGGGAAATGGTGTAGGAAGTATGGGATCTGTGCTGGCAGTGGGGCGAGGAGTGGCACTTTTAAAAATAATGGTCTCAGTAGGTCTATCAAACAGCTTTTATGGTTTAACAGATGATCTCAAACCACAGTGGCTTAGCCCTGGCTGATGTGGCTCAGTGGATAGAGTGCTGGTCTGCAAACCAAAGGATCACTGGTTTGATTCCCAGTCAGGGCACGTGCCTGGCTTCTGGACCAGCTCCCCAATAAGGGGCACATGAGAAGCAACCACACATTGATGTTTCTCTCCCTCTCTTTCTCCTTCCCTTCCTCTCTGTCTAAAAATAAATAAATAAAATCTTTAAAAAACACACACAGTGGCTTAGAAGAACAAATATAAGCTATTTCCCAGTTTTTGTGTGACAGGAATTTGGGAGCAGCCTAGCTGGGTTTTTCTGCCTTGAGGTGTCTCGTGAGGCAGCAGTCAAGACTTCAGTCAGGACTGTGATGGGATATGAAAACTTGAGAGGTACCTCACTCTGATGCTGTTGGCAGAAGGCTTCGGTTCTTCACTGCCATTTCCAACAAGCCCCTCAATGGGGCCGCTTTGGTTACTTTACAACATGACCCCTGGCTTTCCCTAAAACCAGAGATTAAGGAAGAGCAAGATGGAGCCACAATACCATGGACCTGGCTTTGGAAGTCATATTGTCATTTCTGCAATGTCCTAGTAATCACACAGTCGGTGCTATTCCGTGTGGGAGGGGATAACACACGGGGTGACTTGCAGGAGGCAAAGCTCACTGGGCCTACATTGGAGGCTAGTCACCACCATGGGTGTCACTGAAAAACTGACATTGGAGCATCATATTGGCCATAGATTTTCAGATTTCCACATCTGTCAAGCAAAGAAGACTAACATAGATTTAATAAGCCCAATTAAATCTAATGTAAAGTGGAGAGGGGTATTTGTGTGGGAACGAATTTTGTACGTGTTCAGTTCACTGTAAATATTTTCAGATCCTAACACTTCTGCTTCCATCTTTAGTCCTGCAACTGTGAGGTTGTATAACAAACCTTAGGCTAATTGGGAGGCTTATATTTTCTCTTAATTTTGAGAGTCACCTTGAAGGGTGGTATTTTTATCTTTCTTTTAGAGATAAAGAAATGGAGACTGTGTGAGAGAAAGTGATTTCCCAAGGACACATAACCAGCAAGGAGCAAAATTAGGATTTGAGTCCATGCCTATTTGCCTGAAAAGTCAACGTTCTTTGCATTCTGACTCTCTGCCTATCAACATGTTATTTATTTTTTATTTTATGATTGTTGTTCAATTAGAGTTGTCCTGATTTTTCCTGTTGCTCTCCCCCACCCACGCATCCCCTGCTCCCTCAGTCAGTCCCCACCCTGTTGTCCGTTACCATGGGTCTTTTAACAAAGTGTTATTTTATATTTCATTCATTGAGTTGGCTGCAAATCGGTGTATTCTGCTTTCTCATCTACAGCTTTATCAAACAGTACAGGTGAATTCTTGCTAAATGGAGACTTTGTTGTCACAATGGCCAAAAAGGAAATCTATGTTGGGAATACTCTGCTAGAGTACAGCGGGTCTCACAATGCAGTGGAGAGAATTAATTGCACAGATCGCATTGAAGAAGACCTTCTGCTTCAGGTAAAATTTTGGCCATGAGCCCACAACTCCTTTCTTCCATTTGGTATCATCAGACCTGCAAACATCCTCTCTGTTTTGTCTGCACGTCCCAGGTGTTGTCAGTAGGGAAGTTGCACAACCCTGACGTGCGTTATTCTTTCAACGTTCCAATTGAAGACGAGCCCCAGCAGTTCTACTGGAACAGTCATGGGCCCTGGCAAGCCTGCAGCAAACCCTGCCAAGGTATCAGCTTTTAGGCTGTTTGGGGGATTTGAGGTATTCCTTTGGTTTGTTTGTTTTTTCCAGTTTTATTGACATGATTGATATTATAACATTATATAAGTTTAAGGAATTCAATGTAATGATTTGATATATTGCAAAATAATTACCACTGTAAGTTTGTTATCATCCATTATCACATATAGTTACAATTTTTTTTTCTTGCCATGAGAACTTTTAAGATCTACTCTTTTAGCAACTTTCAAATATGCAACACAGTATTGTTAACTATAGGCACTGTACTGCACATTACAGCCCCAGGGCTTATTTATCTTATAACTGACAGTTTGTAGCTTTGACCCCTTTCAAGCCATTTTGTCCACCCCCTACCCTCTACCCACACCTCTGGCAACCACTAGTCTGACCTCTATTTGAGTTTGGTATTCTTTTATGATTGCACATATAAGTGAGATCATGCAGTTCTTTGTCTATCTGATTTGTTTCACTTTGAGGTATTTTTGAGTTAAAAAAAAGAATTGAGGTGTTTTTAAAGTTTTTTAAAAAACAGCCAAATGCATGCTATTTATACAACTTTCTATCTGCTTGAATTGTCTAACCTCTGTTCTGAGTCTGTCTTGTCACTTCTGGCTGGCATGTTAGGCTTTCTTAGGGCTTCAGGATCTGTTAGGGTTTCTCATCCTGAGAGGTCCACACACATGTGTAAAGCCAAACAAATCAGCTGTCACTTTGACTTTCCAGAGACATAGATTTAGTAGTAGTATGATATGTTATTAATTTTGTTCCCTTTTGCATAAATTAGAGGTTGGCAAACCACAACCAGTGCGCCAATTCCAGCCTACTGCCTGCTTTTATAAATAAAAGTTTTATTGGAACACAGGAACACCAAGTTGTTACATACTGTCTATGAGCAGCTGCTTTTGCCCTATAATGGCAGAGTTGAGTAGTTGCAACGAAGGTCATATGGCCCACAAAAATATTTACTATCTAACCCTTTACAGGAAATGTTTGCCAATCCATGGTCTAAGTAGTAAATGGAATAGGATACTCTCTCTGATTTTTCCCCCTGCTTAGGGGAGCGGAAAAGAAAACCCATTTGCACCAGGGAATCTGATCAGCTTGCAGTTTCTGATCAAAGGTGCCATCGGCTGCCCCAGCCAGGACCCATCACTGAACCCTGTGGCACAGACTGTGACCTGAGGTAAGCCCAGTGTTTCTCCATGGTCTTTACAAATGAGTTGTGAGGGTCTTGCAGGAGGTCTCTGCATATGAGGATCAGGTGCAGGGGATGTTGGTCTTTAATCCCCTTCCTCATGTTTCTGTGGAATGAAGCATTAATCAATTTCCCATCCCTCCAAAACTGATGACCCAACACATACACCTGCAAATGTCTTATCCCTCTCTTAAGGATTCAGGCCAGCTAGTAAAGCATGAACTCGCCAAAAACAGTTTTCACTTGACGCTCACAACTCACTATGTAGATATTATTATGACTGAGTCACATCGTCTGCAAGAGTTTAGTTTGAAAGTCAACAGAAAAGGGGTAACTTTATTATTCAAAATACCTGTACTGTTTTGTAGTCACCCAGAGTATACACCCCCAGCAGAACTCATGCACATGAAAGTTGCAGTGCACTAAGGTAGAGTCATAGAAGGAACTAGAAGAAAATATGTATACAAATGTCTAAATACCCAAACACTTATGTATTTAACAGAAGCCTGAAATCTCAGGCAAGAAATAGTGATGGGTGCAGAATTCTTCGGTTTTCCTATTTGCCTGCCAGGTTGACTGTGTCATGCTTATAGCCTGGGAGTTGCATTGGATAGTCTATATATCAGTTAAATGCTGGTAAAATGAATTGATGCTTTATTCTCCTTTTACAGAAAAAAAATTATAAATGTAGAATGGTGTGGGAATTTGTTAAGGATTCACCATTCATAAGAAGCAAGATGGATACTTAAGCATTTTCAGGTTCCACCTCACTATGCCAAATCCTATAATGTGGTATTGGCAGCCTGTAGTGCTGGGGTGAAGATCGTAAGGCATTCTCAAGGTTATAAGAGAGAAGAGCACTGCTGTGACCGATTAGTTATGTCTGTCATGGGAATAGGATGGGGAGACAAGGCATGGGTGTTACATCTTTGCCAGTCCTGATCCAGAATTTCTGACTTTGAAGCCCTGGCTCTTTCCGCCCCACTACACTTCCTCTCCACTCAACGTCACTAATCTGCTTGCTCATGGCTTATCGGGAAGCATAGATAGAGGTCATTATAGAAAGAAAAACCCAAGGTGTTAAAAGACAGACATTTACACTAGGCAGTATTAATTCTTGTTATAGGTAACATCCATACAAACCTGTTGCTTCAGCCAATTGAGGTAAATTAGAGTTAAATGTCTTTTCAGAAAAGTAATTAGCTAGTTAATGCTGACCTGAATCAATTGCTAAAGTTTACGGGAAAACATTGGATTGGTGGGTAGAGTCCTTGAAGCACAATCTCAATAAACTGGAAAAGGTGACATTTTAACAATTAGCCTTATATCAATTATCACTGAAAACATCATAACACTAATAATTAATAATTGTATTTTTCAGAGTGATAACTACTTTGCCAGTAATAATAGAGTCAACCACTAATTAAGGACTATTTTTAGCAATTATATATTATCTTATTAATGGTCTTATGTTAATAAGATAGTTCTCTTCTTGTATATAAAATATTATCCTATTAATTAATTAACATCATATTATATTAATGTCCTATTAATTATCTTATTAATAACCTATTAAAGAACACAATAACATACGTATTTTTATTATTATCCTAAATTAACAAATAAGGAAAACAGAGGCTGGGAGAAGTTAAGCAAATTGTCCAAGATCGCACAACTAGTGAGTGAAGAGGTAGGGTTTGAATGTGCTCTGTCTGACTCTTGAGCCTGAATTCATAAAACCTTGGAGAAAGCTGTTTTCCTTTTTAATTTAGGCATGATTAATGATACTCATTGATCTCGTTTTGTGTAACTTTTCTTCCTTTGTGAAAAGAAGTAACTCCCAGGAGTTTTCTACTCCATCCCTGTTCTCTGTCTTACTTAGACTCCCCTCTCTTTCATTTCTGCACTGACTGAATCAGACCAGGAGAGTCTAGTGATAGGGTAGTTTCAAATGACAAATGCAGATATTGTGGGACTCCTGCCTGTAGCACGAAGCATACTTTTATAATTGTCGGGGAGGCAAGTTTGTGCAAGGCATTTAGAGTACTGGAACATGGCCATAAAAAGAAAAGATTCTTTGAGAACTCTGCTTAAGTTTACCCAAGGAGCCACAATTTGAAGATGGAGATAATATGTGAACTGTCACTTCAAGAAACTAAAACCTTTCACTTCAAACAGATTCCACAATAAGCTACAACGTAGTTTGTAATGGTGCTGGCTAATCCAATGTTCTCCAAAGTTCTCTAGCATGGGAAGCTCTCAGATATAAAACAAATATTAAAGCAAATTTTAGAAAGCGAATACATTGAAAGGTAACCTTGAATCCATGAGACTTTTATGTAGAATTATGTGGAAGATCTCAACAGGATGTCTCCTCAAACTGTATTATTGGTTTATACAGAGTTATATGATATGTGAACTTAGCTGGAGAATAAAACACCAAATAATAATAATAATAATAATAATAATAATGGCTACTTTTCTTGAGTGGGTGCTACATAGTGGTATGTAAAATACTGTGCATGTGTGCATGCCTTGCCTCATAATCTTCCTAGTAGCCCTGTGAAATGGATCCTATTTTCCCCCATTTCACAGATGAGGATGCTGAAGCTTGGTGAAGTTAAGTTGCCTACCTAAGGTCAATAGCTGAAAAATGCTAGAGCTTGCATTCACACCTAGTACTTTCTGATTCCATAACTCATTCTCTAACTTTTATTAAAAAAATCATTTCACAATACCTAGGTAAAACAAGGGCTTAAAATATTTTCACTTCATCATATAGTAGGAGTGTCAAAGTTGCTATTCTAAATTTCCCATTCAGAGAAAGTCACCTTTTTTTTATACTTAACTTAAAAAAGAAATACTTAGACTCTACTGAGACCATAGGAAAACAGCAGCTCAGGGAATGGACTTTGATGATAGTAGCACCTCTAGCTGATTAAAGAAAAGAAGATAAAGGAATTGTAGCCATGTCTTTTGTTAGAAATGCCTGGTACAAGTAACAGCTTATGAGTAAGAATTAAAAAATAAAAGGAAGAAAGGGGAGTTTAGGGTTACCTTATAAAGACTCATAATAACTAGACAGGTGCATATTTATGTCTAAAAATAAATAAAAGATTGTTTTTATTTGTCATGATTCAAACTCATATCTTAATGGATTTTATGGATTGTTGGAAAAATAAAGTTGTTGATGGAAAAACATACAAAGATACAAACTGAGCCCAAAGAAGGTGTGTTGTCTGTCTTCTGTCTGCCTGACAGTTACTATAATTGTGATTTACACTAATTATTGCCAAGTGGCTATGTGCAAAACTGAAAGACTGGAGAGAGGATTATTACTGATTGGTCAAAGTCTAAAACAGTTTTTCCCAAAGCATGTTTGTGGAACCCTAGTCCCACGAGACGACCCATGGCGGACCAGTGTGTTGGAGAAGCCTTACTGACTGTCTCCTCCCCTGTGTGGACAGTGAGAGTGCTGATGAACATTGTGAAGTCCCTGAGAAGTTCTGTCATGTAGAACCCTGCTTAAATCAGTAGCTCCGAAAATTATTTAATGCCATAGTGCTGCACACACTCACAGAGACATCACGTTTTTTCTGTCTCTACTTATTAGCAAACACTTTGCTTTTCTGAAATATGCTAATAAAATATCATCACTATATGGAATGAACTGAATGAATTCAGAACACTGACGTTGAGATGACCTTCCAGGGAGAGACTATGAAGCAAATATTAACTTTGAGAACTTTCCCAAGACAGTTTTATGACCTCTCCTACTTTTCAGATTCTCTGCTCGAATTCCATGGATTGTGTGACTATCAGGGAGACTCTACTATACTTTTCCAGCCTGAGCTGCTGGGATGCTTTCTTGTGGGGCAGGACTCTTGTCTTCCTTATTCAGGATGAAAAACAACCTTTCCACAAGGAAATGGTGAGGAAGGCAAAGAGAAGATAGTCAAGAATCAAATGGCAGGCCCAAGTTCCAGATGCCTCTGCTGAACTGGTCCACATTTTTGCCTTACTTCCTTAGGGAAGTAGGGGTTCACCAGGTTAAACTTTGACAGGATGGGATAGATATAGCATTGTTTTACTGTCCCTCATTTAACATGTTCTGGTTAGAGCAAAATCCCCAACATGATTTCACCTGAACAGAAAATCTTGGTAGCCCACTTTACACGCCAAATGTAAAAGTAGGTCAACTCTGGCCTACTTTTGAGCATTTGTGAGGATTTGCAAGATAAGCATGTGTCCAGTACACCCATTTTCTTCCTGAGTCCTCTCCTGGGACAGGTGTAGATGGAAGAATTCTTAGGGCGTTAGTGTTTGCCAAACAACTGAATTTCTGAACAATACAGAATTAACAGTCAAGAGTGAATCCAAATGAACACTATAAAGAAAGTAATCCTCTTTGATTGTTAGATTTAATCAATACAATGTATTTCAAGTTTATTTAGTTAGACTATTCTATTCAGTTTAAGCATTTTTTTTTATTATAAGCACTGATCATATTCCTGGGCATTAAAAGAACAAGTCAATTTATTATCCCATTCTACTGTGTGCCAAAAAAGGCTCATTATAGGGTACTATATATGAAAAGTTACTCTATGTGACAAAGATTTGTAGATTCAAATCTAATTTTAAAAATGTATAATTGTGGAGGAGTGAGGAATGAATAGGTGGAGCACAGAGGATTTTTAAGACAGTGAAAATACTCTATATGACATTATAGTGATGAATACATATTATACATTTGTCCAAACCCATGGAATGTACAACACCAAAAGTGAACCTGAATGTAAACTATGGACTTTGGGTGATAACATTGTGTCAATGCAGGTTCGTCCATTATAACAACTGTGCCATTCTGGTAGGGGATGCTGGCAATAGAGGGAGGCTTTGTGTACTGGGGATGCAGGGGAGTTACGGGAAATCTCTGTGCCGTCCTCTCAACTTTTGCATGGACCCAAAACTGCTCTAAAAAAAAAATAAAGTCTCCTTTTTTTTAAAATGTATAATTGAGTTTTGTAGACTATGGTCCTTGTCTTCAAGGAACTTAAGGTCTTTACTCACAGTTTTGCACACTGAAATTCACACTTAGAGTCCAAATTATCCATTCCTTTATAAATTCACAGGATGTTCACTGAGCACTTTCTAGCATAGGCCTACATAAACAAGATTTCCTGATGATAGCTTCCAGCAGTAGTTCTCTCTTAGAAGCAGCCTGCCTGATAAATGAAATGCTGTGGAGCATGGACCTTTTAAACATAAGATTGTTTCTTTTTCCTCTGTTGAATTCCAGTGGGTTTTCTTTTTTCTTTTTGCTTGCTTGAATTTTAGATTGACTGTATTAGAGGAAAATCTTTACAAAAATAGAGGCTGTAGTTATCACTCCATGACTTCCATGGACATTGACAGCCACGGAAAATATAGGGATATGTTCGTTTAGAATTCGATTTCAGTAGCAGACTGTGACTTCGAGTTTCATGGTATTTGAGTTAAGGAAAAACAATGAACTCAAGTCTTCCACAAGTTGAGTATAGATAAGACATTTAATAGAACTCCTGGTTTTTCCCCATTGTTATGCACAGGTGGCATGTCGCCAGCAGGAGCGAATGTAGCGCCCAGTGTGGCTTAGGGTACCGCGCATTAGACATCTTCTGTGCCAAATACAGCCGGCTAGATGGGAAGATCGAGAAGGTTGATGACAGTTTTTGCAGCAGTCACCCCAAACCAAGCAGCCAGGAAAAATGCTCAGGAGAATGTAACACAGGAGGCTGGCGCTATTCTGCTTGGACTGAAGTAAGTTGGTTTGCTCTAAAAGGAAGTCATCTTCTTGAATACTAAGTCTGACTAGTTGATGGCGATGAATCAACTAATTCATTCATTAGGGCTGTGTTAAGAAGCCCCATCAAGTAGTATGGAAAAAGGGCACCAGGATTAATTTGTAATGCCTAACATGGCCATGGCATGTGGAAAACTGGGAATGGTAGGCCAAATCAATCAATAACCTTTTCCATACCCCATAGGCCATTTCCGATTTTGTTTTTTGCCCATTTACTAATACTGACTTCATTATAAATCTGGCAAGTAAATTGATAACATGAACAGATAATCCCAAAATAACAGCTAAAATCGACCAAGGATGGTTTGTTGGTTGTTTCTAAGGTCTGGCAGAGATAAGCCAGTAGAGCCAGAATCTTGAGTGTGCTTAATGAGAAACTCCACTTTATTTAGTTTTTTGTCTTTTCAGTGTTCTGAAAGCTGTGGTGGTGGAATTCAGAGGAGAAGGGCTATTTGTGTCAACACACGAAATGATGTCCTGGAGGATAGCAAATGCATACATCAAGACAAAGTCACTATTCAGAGGTGCAATGAGCTACCTTGTCCACAGTGGAAATCGGGAGACTGGTCAGAGGTGAGATGGGAGGGCTGTTACTTCCTCTAGGGCATCCTTGATACTCTAATTCTGAGTCCCCCCCAAGGCTGTTCAAGTTTAAACCTGCTGTGCTTTTCTCCCTCCTCCTGTTGAAGAAATGGTGACTCTAATCCTTTGCTCACTCCATTACTGTCATACTGGATGTGACTTCTCCACTTGCTACTTCAGAGGCATAGTGGTTTTAGCTGGATCACCAACCACAGCAGCTTTTGTTGGTGACTTGGGAGTTCCAGTCCCTCACCTCATCTCCTCTTTGAGCCCCAGCTAAGTCACTGCAAAAGAAATCAAGGCTTTAGTAATTATAAAGCTGCACTGGCTTAGATCTAAACTACATAATGAGGTGTCCCGCTTCCTCATCTTTAAAATAGGAGAATTAAGACAAAGGGGCGGGGGAAGGAGTGCATGTGGGACAGGGGATGGATAAGGCAGGGGAGAGTAATGGGGGGAAAATGGGGACAACTACAATTAAACAACAATTAAAAAATTTTAAATAATAAAAATAAAAATAAAATGGGAGAATTAGACCTCAGTAAGTGACTTAACTGACTTATCCATCCAGTTGCTAGTGGAAACTTGGAAGAGGGAAAGGATCCAGCTGAGTATTTGAGATTCATGTCTTCCTCACCCCTTGCCTTGTGAAGCACCAGGTGAACCCTTCATCACTGAGCATAGGCGGCCCCAGGATAGCTAGAGGATGCTAAAGCCTCTTTCTTGCTTTCATTGCTAGTATTATCACTATTAACATAGCCCCATGAGATTCTCACTGAGTAGTTGACTCCTTCTTCCTTCCTTCTGGAGAGCTAGTGAAAGGAAAATTAAAGTTTCTTCCTTTATGGGCAATGCCAGGAACGTGGGGAAGGAAGTGTTTCTGCTAATGGCTTCTGCGTGCATGCTCTTATCTCATCCATGAAAATGCAGGGTAACTGTTTACTTTCAGCATCAAATAAAATGTGAGTCTTAAAAGGACACTATTAATGCCCATTTAATGGTACACAAGTAATTATGCATGTGATTAACAGTGTCTGATTCCTGGACAAATTAACAATAAACTTAGTGCTTTCATTCTTTGTTAACAAGCTGCCTTAGCTTAAACTCTAATATTATTTTTAAAAAGATGAAAGAAGGTAGTGTGTTTGTTTTTCTTAGGAAGCTAATATTAGCTAAAGTATCATTTCAAATCAAGTAACAAACTTTTGCAAGAATGCTTGACAAAGTAGAAGCTGGGAATATCAAACTGTCTTATATATTCAATATGATCCAGCATTCCATGGATAAACACACTGGGAAGAAAACAGCAAAATGTTAACAATTATCCCTGGGTAGTGGGATTTTTGGATCACTATAGATTTCTCTTTTTTGTTTTTCTATATTTTTCAAGTTTCTAAAAACGAGCATAGACAATAATGACGACTATATTTAACATTTATTAGATGAGCATGTGGTAAGCACTTTACTTAGAGTCATTTTCATTTAATTTTCACAATTGTTTGCAGTAGGCACTATTGTTCCCATGGTACAGAAAAGAAAACTGAGGTATAGAGAGGTTACATGACCTCTGGATTAAAACCCAGATTGGTCTGACTCATGAATTCCCTACACTTTATCCTAGAAAACTATGACTGCTGTTCTTCAATATTTCAGATCATGGTGTTATGTTGAGTTTATTCTGTGCTTGAAACTGGCCCAGAGCCTCTATAAATACAGTATGAATGAGTGAATGAATGAATGAATGAATGAAGCAAGCCTTAATGTATTTACAAATTTCTATGGGAGAGAGAAATTACTGTAAGAAAAGGGCATACCTGCTCTTGCTAATCCATGAACAATCCCAAGACCCGGATCACATTGTCCAGAACTGAGCTTGACTGGCTGTGCTTTCATTCCAGTGCTTGGTCACCTGTGGGAAAGGGCACAAGCACCGTCAGGTCTGGTGTCAATTCGGTGAAGATCGATTAAACGATAGAGCCTGTGACCTCGAGACCAAGCCAGCCTCCATGCAGACCTGTCAGCAGCCGGAATGCGCGTCCTGGCAGGCAGGTCCCTGGGGACAGGTATTTCAAATGATAAAGTTCTTAACTACATTCTTTCCTTTTTATCTGGAGAGGGTTTACAGCTGGGCTTTCCAGCACCAGGGATTTCACCTCTGTGTCTGTAACTTGCACTATACTTTCATGGCTCTGTGTCAAAGGAAGAGAAACTCCGCAGCCATTTCACCACACTTTCTGGGGTTGCCACTTGTCTTCCTGCTGCTGATCATCCCCTTTACAGACCCATGCACATGTCTTCACTCTTAGTTAAAACTAGATGGAGACACAAACATTCAAACAATTCACAGCAAATCTCGAGTCTATCTGATGTTATCTTCTAGTTTGCCCCTGTGTGTCTGTTATAGAAAATGGGATCCAGAGCCAGTGTCTTTGGCAGGAGGGTCTGGACTGGAGTTTGTGCGGGACATTTTGGCTCCCAATGTTTCCAAAGCTCACCTCTCACAAATAAGTCAGACTCTTCAAACAGGTTAATTAGATAAAAGGTTGCAGAATTATCTCACTTGCAAGAATCTCTTCTGAGTCCCCTTGCCTGTAGGTTTTAAGTCTTAACTAGATCTATTCTTAAAGGACAGCATGGAAGTCTCCCTTGGGCTTGCATTAGAGAAGCCACTACTCTTGAAATTAAGTGCTTCCCAATATAGAAACCAAACGCATCCTGGTACTGTTTAAGTAGCTCTCTGGGTTCCCAAGAGAAAGAAAGCAGCTGTCTGCAGTCACTTACATAGTATTTTGAAGAATGACTCTTCCTCCACCCTGTCCACTCACAGCCTCAGCCACTTCAGTCATCTAGCTTGTGCCTTCATTCCCAATACACCGCAATAATGGGAGCAGCTGTATTACTACTCCTTGACACTTTTTGTCATTAGCATTAACACTTTTCCAAATCCTCCCTATTGCACAGCATCCCTAGTCAAAAGGTCTGATCACCTTGCATAAACAAGGAGAGTCCACATACACTTCACATCTTGCCTCCTTTTTGTCCCCATTTGCCTAACTCCTAGGGAATAGTAAGAGGAAAGATGTACAGCTAAGGGTCACCCTTAAGATTTGAATATATCATCCTTTAGAACTGGTGGATCTATTTTTTTTACTCCCTGTCCATACCAGGCCAATCCTAGCCAGAGATTTGTTCTTCCTTTACCTGAATGTGCAATTCAGGGCAACAAACTATGTTTTAAAATATTGTTTAAAAGTAATGCCTGTTCATAAGAAAATTTTTGCAAAATGTTTAGCAAAAAGAAGAAAACCAAACATACTCATAACCCTATACTACAGAGATTACTAGTATTAATAGGTTTGACTTTCTTTTTAAAACTAATATAAAGATTATATTTTGGGTTTTTTTATTTGAAGTAAAACTCATGTACAAAATTAACCATTTCAAAGTGAACCAGTCAGTGTCGTTTAATACATTCATAGTTTTATATAACCACCACCTTTACCTAGTTCCAAAACATCCCCCCAGAATACTCACTAAGCAGTTATTTCCCATTCAGTCTCCCTTTAGCCCCTGCAGTCCAGTCTGCCTTCTACCTCCATGGATTTACTTATTCTAAGTATTTTGTATAAATGGAATCATACAATATGGGACCTTTTGTGTTTGGATCTTTCATGTAACATAATGTTTTTAAGGTTCATCCACATCGTGGCATACATCTTTTCTTTGTTCTTTTATATGGTCGTGTAATAGTTCATTGTATAGATATAGCACATTTGTTTATCGAGTAATTTCCCATTGAACATTTGGATTATTCACACCTCTTACCTACTGTATATAGTGCTGCTATGAATATTCACATATGAGAGTTCTTTCTAGTACTTAATTTCAGTTCTTTTCTATATATACCTAATAGAGTTGTTGATGGATCATTTGGTCATTCTATGTTTAACTACCAAACAACTTTCCACAGAACCTGCAACCTTTTACATTTCTACCAGCAATACACAAAGGTTCCAATTTATGTACATCCTTGCCAACACCCCCTATTTTCCTACTTTTTAACTATGACCCGCCTAAGGTTTTGACTTGTATTTCCCTAAGGACTTGTTGACCATCTTTTCATTTGCTTATTGGCCATTTGCATATCTCCTTTGGAGAAATGCTTATTCAAGACCTGGCAACCACCATTCTACTTTCTGTCTCTATGAATTTGACTATTCTGGATACATCTAGAAGTAGGAGCGTACAGTATTTGTCCTGTTGGGACTGGATTATTTCAATTAGCATAATGCCCTCATGGTTTATCCATGTTGCAACAGATATCAGAATTTTCTTCCTAAAATTTTTGAGGCTGAATAATAATCCGCTGTCTGTATTTGTTTATGCATTTGTCTGTCGATGGCCACTTAGGTTGCTTTCACCTTTTGGCTATTGTGAATAATGCTGCTATGAACATGTGAGTATATTAATATCTCTTTGAGACTCTGCTTTTAATTCTTTTGGATATATACTCAAAAGTAGAATTGTTGGGTTATTTGGCAATTCTATATTTAATTTTCTGAGGAGCCACACTACTATTTTTCATGGTTCTGGTAGTTATAGTGTAGAAGATATAAAAATGATTGAAATGTACTCTCCTCATTCCATGGGTTCACAGTTAAGAAACTGAACTCCTACAAATATAATTCCAATGGAGGGAGAAATAATTTCAAATATTAGAGTGATAATTGGTCGGTATAATTTGCACAGAGCAGGATTGCCTAATTTTAACTAATTTATTTGGGTGCCTACCTTTTGGCTGCAATGATAGAATTTTTTTTTTCTCTTATAGAATGTCATGTGAAAAGTAAGGGAAAGAGAAATTTTGCTGAATTATGTATGCTTTTGTTTTATTTCTTTCCCCCAGTGCAGTGTCACTTGTGGGCAGGGGTACCAGTTCAGAACAGTGAAATGCATCGTCAGGACTTACATGTCAGAGGTAGATGATGATGTCTGCAATGCAGCAACTAGGCCCACTGAGACCCAGGTAAGTCTTTTTTGTTCAACTCAGTTGTTGGCTTTGTGCACTGAGATGCTAAATCTCCCAAGAGGTTCAGTCAAAATTGAAGTCTTTTTACAGGTAAGTATGTAGGTAGAGAAAACCATTGATTAAATTGTTCTGGAATCATTTATTTGTTATATTTTGAATCTAATATTTTGGTGTCCCAGTGTTTTCTTATCTGGTCATTGAAATGTATGTAGGTTTAATTCTGATTTTTATTAGATGGCAAATGTTGATTGTTTGATCTTGTTTTCTTAAACTTAGTGCTTTTAAATGATTTCAGTTAGGGACAGCAAACAGAGTTATATATGTTCAAGCAGCTGTGTGCTGTTGTTGGCTTGTTCCTACGTTTTACTATTATCTATGCCCTTAAGATTATTTACATGTGTGTGTCTTTATGATGGAAATACTACATAATGGTGAACTACTGTACCTCTCTTCCCAACTTGATGTCAAGTTGGTAGCTTCACATTGGCTATGGTAAGAGTTTTTACAGCACAGATGTCAGCAAGTACTATATATTTCAGGGTTTTATTTATTGTTTTGTTGATTAGTTAGACACAAGAAGGTTATGGAGAAAATATTGATAATGAAAATTAAACTTACAAGAGTGTCATGTCTGCAGCTGTTACATTGTGAATAGCACAAAAAATTAAGAAAGTGTTTTTCCAGTGTTTGCAAAGAAATCGTTCATGTCATTGGTGAATGAATAAAGCTCTTACGTGCATATTTATTATTTCACTTTCACCTTGCTCTTAAAAGTAAACGAAACATCAAGTAGTATTTATGTCAGAATGACACTTGTCCAGCACTTACAATCATAGATTTAAGAGCTCAGCAAAAATCAACAAAACTATTCTGTGACACTCAATTGGCTGTACGAAATTTTAAAAGAATTACATATTTTTTATTATTTCTAAGTTGTGTGCTATACACTCTTTATAGCAATAAAATTTATAATAAGCATATATGTATATATGTGTATCTATCTACACAAACACATGCCTTTTTTTCTCAAAAGAGCTAGTTGATAATGACTTACCAGCACACTATACTATGTGGGCCTTGATTTTGGCATCATTTATTTAAAGAGAAGACTTGGGTTTATACACCAGCTTTGCCAATTGCTGAAGACAGGATTTAAATCCAGACTTTGTCCAGAACTCACAGTCCAAAGCTCAGTTGGGCAACACACTGCCTCTGTCTTGAGCACCCTTAGTCTGCTGCATGTGTTGTTTATGGATGAAGCAAATGAAGACGGCAGTGTTGTCCATGTTGTCACCACTGGTCAATTAACCAAACATAACTCAAGAGTTGTGTCATCTTCATTTTTATTACTTTATTGAGACATTTCAAGCCACCATATTATAAATGCCTGAGAAATATTAACTCTCACATCCGAGAAGTCATGAAGTAAGGACTCAGCAACTCAAAGATTAAAAACATGCATTTCTGTCTAAACTGCTCTATAATATCCACTGGACAAGAGGGCAGGCCTACAGCTGCAACATATGAATCAATTCTTCCGTGTATGAAAAGATCCCTGAGGTCTTAGAATTTTTAGTTCTTAAATTTTTGTATTCCATGACCATGAAAGTGTGCATTGACATAAAGGTAACTGGCTTTCCCCACTTCTCCCATCTAGGACTGCGAAGTACCATCCTGTAACCCTCCCCAAGCTGTCCCAGAAGCAAGGAGAAATGTACACAGTGCACCCAGAACCCAGTGGCGATTTGGGTCTTGGACTCCAGTAAGGAATAGAATGGTAGAAGTTGAGGGGGTGGAAGGGGAAGAAGATGTTCTCTGACTTGACCAGAAAATGGATTGCTGTCCAGTTAGCAACTGATTCAAATAACATTTCTACATTATTTTACTCCAACACCCAGTGCTCAGCCACTTGTGGAAAAGGTACCCAGATGAGATATGTCAGCTGCCGGGATGAGGACGGCTCCGTGGCTGATGAGAGAGCCTGTATAACCCTGCCTAGACCAGTGGCAGAGGAAGAATGTTTTGTGACTCCCTGTGGCCAGTGGAAGGCTTTGGACTGGAGCCCTGTAAGCAAGTGCATTCTTTGGGATTGGGAGAGGACTGGGGTGCAATAAAGGGGATGACTAGCAACAGGTCTCAGATGTCCACGGGTAATATTTTATAATTGGACTTGGATTGGGATTTAAATTATTCTTCTTCATATATGTGCAGCTGGTTTAAATTTTAGCCAGATGTATAAGAAATGCACATTTAAAAAAAAACATGTAAATCAATTTAAAATCTACTTAAGCGCCTGTCCTGTTGGGCTCATTGGAAAGCCAGTCTTAATTGAGTCACATCAGAATGTAGTAGGTGTGCAGGATAACAAAGATGGCAAAGATGGAGGAAGGAGTAAGAAGATGGCCTTTCACCCTGAATCTGGGTGTCTCCTGCATCCTATGGTCCCTCAGTCCAGTGGCTCTTGGCTTTGCTGCCAAGAGTAAAAGGTGAGAATCTTCATCGAGTGCTTTGTACTCAGCTTCTATGCACTCCAAGCACCATCTATGGGATTTTGTGAAATTAGAAAAACCTTTGTCTCAGGCAGTTCCTGCTTTCTGCCTTGTCAAAACCAGAGTCCAGGAAGTACAAAGTTTAGAACAGGTAAGGAGACATCATAAGGAAAATGGAGATTAATAGATATCATAACATATATATAAAATTTGAGAGGTGGATTCAAAGAGAGCTGTGTAAACATTCAGATGTTGACATTTACTGGCTGCATGACCTTGAGCTGTCTGGTTAAAATCTGAGCCTTCGTTTCTTCTGCTCTTCAAAGAAGGCCAAAAAATACCTGTCTTCAAGAATGTTGTGGGGATTATTTGAGATTATATATGTTAAATATTTAGCCCAAAGTGGGTGCTCAATAAATGGTAGATAATCTCATTCTCATGCCTTGAGTCTCCAGACATACGTACATACATCAGATATAGCTGTTTACTCACCCGTTTTTTGTTAAAGCTCACTGTACAAAAGGCAGTGAGCAACAAATAATAAAGTCCTTGTCTTCATGGAGGTTAGTCCAATGAAGATTCTGGATGCTAAGAAAATAAAGAAATAGATATATGATATAGCAACAGGTATTGATAAGTATTAAAGTCCAGCAGAATGGCATAGAGAAAGATGGGATGGACTTTCAGACAGGGTAGTCAGAAAGGAGCTGGCATTGATTGAGCAGGACTAAATGAAGTGAGGAGTAAGCCACGTGGATGTTCCTGTGGTACAGCGGAAGGTACAGCAGATTCACAGACCTGAGATATGAGCATTCTTGGCCTGCTGAAAAAAACACCCATAAGGCCAGTGTGGCTGAAATGCAGTGATGGAGGATGGCAGGAGGGGAGTGAAAGAGAGAGCCAGTGACCATATCATTGGTGTCCACCAGTTCAAGTAAGGACTTTGGACATTCGATAGCATCCAAAGTGATTTGGGGGGCCACATGATCTGACTTTAGTTTGTGGGAGTCACTGTTTGTGATATGTAGATGGCAGGCTTGGGGGCTGGGATCAAGGTTATAAGCAGGAGCCCACATGGAAGACCATTACAATAATTCTGGCAAAAGAAGGTAATGGCTTGGACTGGAGGGGTGATGGTGGAGGTGATGAAAAGTGTGTATTCTGGGCACTGAGCTTATTCAGTTTCTCAGTGAAATGGCTATGAGGTAGGAAGACAAGGGAGGGATCAAGGATAACACCAAGGTTTTTGACCTGATTAACCTGGTAAGTAGTGGGTACTTTACAAAAAATGTGCATTCATGAATTTATGACTGCTGAATGACCAGCCCTTTCTCTTTCTGAACATTCAACGTAGTGTTCTGTGACATGTGGGCAAGGTAGAACAACCCGGCAAGTGGTATGTGTCAACTACAGCGACCATGTGATTGATCAAAGCAAGTGTGACCCAGATTATATCCCAGAAACCAACCAGGACTGTTTCATGTCACCATGTCCTCAACGGACCCCGGACAGTGTCCTGGCTCAGCACCCTTTCCAAAATGTGGGTTATCACCCCAGGAGCTTCAGCCCTAGCCAAACCCATGTGCTTGGTGGAAACCAGTGGAGGACTGGCCCCTGGGGAGCAGTAAGTATTTACTGAGGTCTTTTCCTAACTTGCCTTCTCTCTTACTGGAGGCAGCGTTCGGGGGAAAGAGAAACTAGAAACACCTTTGAAGCATTTTTTTCTCAAGGGATTGACATACATATTCATCTGGTTTGGGGTCATCTGCAGTGGGTTAATTGCAGTCCCTAAGAAAGTGCCACACGATGCTGTCTGCATGCACCTATAAGCGACCTTAACTGGGTGGAGAAGGGGGGTGGGTCACTGCCAGATGACAAGATCAGGTGGCCTCCTGGAAGGTGCTGTGAAGGCTGTGGGGAGTGAGCCTAGAGGCAGAGACACTCGCAGTTCTTACCTGAAGGGAAATTAAAAAGGCAGAGGAACTTTGCTCAAAGGGAGCTCTTAATGAATGTCATTTTCCTTCTCACTATTTTCCAGAAGACTGCAGTGTCAAAGTGGCACGATTGCTGTGTAATTTGTAGCAGTAGGTCATGGTCCTGGATGGGGGTGGGGAGACACATGAGGCTAGGTAAAAGCTGTGCTTAGAGGAGAAGTACCCTGTAGCTGGTGGACTTTTGCAGGTCCCCTTTCCTCTTTGAGCCTCAGTTTTGTCATCTGTAAAACAAAGTCAACCATAATTCTGGCTTTTGTAAGAATTAAATGCAATGATGCAAATAAAGTGCTTTACACTGTGCTTGCCACAGAGCAAGACCTTAAGAGGTGTCAGCAATAATCTTTGTCATTACCATTGTCCTTCAAAATAGGAAGACCATGAAAAATATTTAATATTCAAAGGAAAAATATGCTTTTGAATGTTTTTAACATTTTACTAAATAATTTTCCTAAAAAAATAGTTACGTTGTGGAATATTGGCCATGTTTCATGGAACTGCAGGCAGGCTGAGGGAGGGCAGACCCTGGCTGGCATGAGTTAGAGGTTTATTTATCACTCCAGGGTCTTCTTTTTAATTGTTTACTTTCTGTTTCCTTCTAGTACTGCTAATTGTGTTTAATTATTTAGGACTAAAAAGAATTAGAAAGAGACTGTTTTTCATGTGGTCGTTTCAGTAAATCAAACCTACTTTCCTAGGAGTTCTTATTAGCCCCTGTGCATTTGCAATTGTCCATTTTATATGTGCCAAGTTATAGGGACCTTCGGCATCTCATCCTCCTGGCTTGCTTTCCTCTTCGTGCTCCTTAGCCTGGCTCAGAAGTGACTGGTTCTGAGAAATCAAAGAATGACTAAGGGAAGTAATCACTAGATGTCTCACAATTTTTCTGATTGAAAAATTATATGTATTCTAGTGATAGCACAAGAAATTTTTAAAAAACATTTTAAAGCGGCTCTTATTTAGGACTGCATTTAGGAATGATGCGTTCCTTTGAGATTGAATGATTCTGCCCCTAGCAGAATTCCAAATTAGGGGGCATTAGGTAACCTTTTTACAGCAATGGGCAACACCATTTTTCTCCATGTTGTGCCTGTTTTTTTGTCTGGGGATCTCTTTTTTCTAATTTAAGTAAGGCTTAATTTGGACTATATGATCTTCCAGGCCCGACTTATCATGCCTGACCATTTCCCAGGAGCATGCAGGATGTGCGTGCATCCTTGCATGACTCGGCACACAGACTGTATGTGAGTGCCTTCTGTGGCAGAAAAGGCAGCAACAAATCATAAACACTAAAGAATGGGAATCTCCAGTTTACACTGGATTCTGGAGTAAGAACCTCATTTTACAGTAAACTTCTGCATAAACTTAAACCCTGTATGAGGTTTTCCATGCGTAATCACTTATGGGTCTCTGGTTGCAAGCAAAAGAAATGAAACTGACTCTTTCAATTGAAAGCAAAACAAACAAAACTGTTCATTTAGCCCCAGTACAAGCAGAGACCAGTGCTCCTTCAGGGATATAGCTCAGGGCTTGCCAATTTTTTTCTGCAAAAGGCCATATAGTAAACATTTTGATCTGTGTGGAGCATACAGTCTCTGTCACAACTAACCAGCTCTGCTGCTGTAACACAAAATCAGGCATAGACAGTAAATGAATGGGCATGGCTGTGTTCCAATAAAACTTTGTTTATAAAAACAGGTGGTGGGCCAGGTTTGGCTCCCAGGCTGTGGTTTGCCAAATCCTGCTCTAGGTGGAGCAGTAACTAAAGGATAGCTTTTTAAAGAGTTTCTGTCTTAAAGAATCCCTTTTACCTCTGAACCACCCTTGAATTACTCTACTCAGGATTCAAATTCCCGGGAAAGTCTGATTGTCCAGCTTGTTCCACTTGCTCACACCTTGTCCAGGGCAGGGCATAGTGTTGTAATAGACAATCCCTCCAAGGTGGCATCCACTGGGGGATGAATTGTTCTTTACAGGAAAATTGGGTTGCCAGATGTAGGGCGAGTATATGAGGAAGGTAAGAATAGCAGATGTCCATAAACCTCTTGCTTCTCTAAAGGCCATTTACCTTTGTTTTGTCCAGTGGGGATGACAGATGCAGGGTTTGATCAAAGAAATATCTACCTAGAAAAATATGTCATCTAAAGAACATAGGAAAGTTGTCAACAAAAGAAGTGTGGAGTGAAATTCTGCAACATAGGCATTGAACTAAGAATCCCTGTTAATCAGAAAAAGACAAAGTGAACCTAGAGAAGATCAGGTACAACACGGAACCTGTGTGTGGGAGGATAAAGGCCTATGCTGACCGTGGGTTTGGAACTGTGCAGTGCACTTTCAGGCCGTGCAGTTCAATTGCTTGGCCCCAGCTGAGTACTATCTCCATCTCTTTGGTCAGATCCTCAGGAGGAAGCATCAGATTGGTCAATGGGCAGCTGTGGATTTGTTGGCCTTGGATCAGGTATCCATCCTTGCTCCAATAGGCCACATTGAAGAGAAGGTAGAATGTGGCCTATAGAACTGCTGCTTTCAGAAACTTTAATGGTACCAGGCAATAAATCCTGTGACCAGTGCTGGGGGAGTTAATAGGGATATGAGTTATAACAGAGCCCTCCCTCAAAGAGTTTACGATTTTGTTGGACTGTACACTCACAAGAAACATAATAAAGGAATAATACAAGATTTCATTATGAAGGGAAAAATTCAAGGGTCAAACTACATATATTCCAAATCTATTTATAATATGGAAGTTCCTTCCAAACATTTTAAATTCTGGTCCCCAGACAAAGCCAACTAAAATAATAGTTCTCTGCATTTTTTTTTATTATGGACTAAGCTGTTTCAAAAGTAGAAAACAAGTATTTCAAAGTTTAGAGTAAGTATATCAGAACCATCTGAGAATAGAGGTAGAATATTTTAAAACATTCAAAATTTACCCAAATCAAAAATTATCTAAATATTTTCTTAGACAGAATTATAAATAACTTATCTAAGTGAAAAATTACCTAAATATTTTCTCAGATGGAATTCATAAACCTATTTTCTTGCTGTGAGCATATTTTAAAATTAAACTCAATATATTTTTAACCCTCTCATAATTTGACAAGCATAGGTAGGGAAATCGAGCTGAGGTCCCACATGGTAAGCAGAATATATTCTCATCACTATATGGAAGAAGCTGACCAACAAAAGGCAGTATTCACAGGTATTTCTAAATAACACAGGTGTGAGCTGAGGTTTAATAGAAAGCACAAAGCAGCCATTAGAACCTGGAACTCAAAGCATTGTTGCAAATGCATTTTGAAATGATAACTAGTGGGGATTATATTGCTTTGAGGACTAGACAATTATTTTATAGGCAAACTGTTAAGCGTCAGACTGAAGGATACTGGCAAACACATTGAGTTTTGAAAGATAACAAAGTTATGGAAAAAACACTCAAGATATAGATAAATAAAAGAGCTATGAGAAGCTTGTGTGGGAAATTAGCTGAAATGCAAACATAATTCTGTGACGACCATGAGAGGGGTGCTAGACTGAACATCCATTCGAAGAGAGGTTTGTCCATATGAAATTCAGTGTAGTTCACTGGGAAATATAAAGAAAGAAAGAAAATGAATCTTGCTACCATCATCCACTAAAGTAGACCCTATTATGAAAGGAGAGACGGCCTCGTTACCTGTGAGAAAATGATGTCGAAGCAGTGTTCCATTTAACTGAATGAGTTAATATGAATGCTTACTTTCACAACTGGCTATTAGTTGAGCCATGTTATTTGTTTGACCTCTGTGTTGAAAGGAAAGTCAATATTGGTTCTAAATAAACACTTGGAGTTTTGAAAAGAAAAGAGTCTTTCAATGGACTGTGATGTCAGTCAACACTTGTGTACCTGTCAGAAATGCAGAGAAGATAAAGGAGGACCGTAAATAGGGCTGCTTTGGAAATCTCAACACATTATCACTCATTAGACATTTTCTGAACACTGGCATTTATCGAACACCTACATTAGACATTTACTGAACTCCTACTCAAGGCCTGAAGTGTGCAAAGGAGAAGCCATGCTTCTGCCCTCCAGGTGTTTATTATAAGACTTCTGCATTAAACAACCCCACAGGAGGGAACATCTCACAACTGCCTTCTGTCCATTGTGGATGATTTCTGTCACTTTTGTCTTTGACCTTTCAGTCAGCTGTTTTTTTGTGATCCTAAAGTGGAAATGGAGGTGGGGATTAACATTTTGACTGATGTCTGATGTGTTCAGTGTTCTAGTACCTGTGCTGGCGGGTGGCAGCGGCGTGTCGTTGTATGTCAGGATGAGAACGGATACACCGCAAGTGACTGTGTGGAGAGGATCAAACCTGATGAGCAAAGAGCCTGCGAATCCGGGCCTTGTCCTCAGTGGGCTTATGGTAACTGGGGAGAGGTGAGAGTAAAAGTCTGTCTGTACATCCTTTGGAAAAAGCACAGAGTAATTTTGCTGACCAAACTGTGTTGTTGTTCATAGTTTATTTGAAGGAAGAAGAATTAGCTCCAGTTAAAGCTTCTTGATTTGAGATCAACTAGGAGACCTGTCTTAATCCTAAGCTACTTTAAACGTGCATGTATGATCAGTTATATAGACAGCTTGATTACATAGAGATGAAAATTAGGAAAGAATGCAGATAAATGTCAGTTTAAATTGGTAACCTCTGCTGGTTAAAAAAATTAGAGGCTTATAAAGTCATTGACAATGTGTGTTAAACTAGTTAATGGAAATTTTGACATCTTCTCCATAGTTTTGGGATGTTTGTGATACACTGTTACTCTCATAGCATAATGTCTCCCATTATTTTAAACCCCTGATGAAACCAGAATGAATGGGTGCTATTTTCCCTATCAAAGGTGACTCATTTTAAACATGGAAGTGAACAACTAGCTATATATTCTCAAACAGTGAAATTCTTCAGCTGTTACTTTTAGACCTTTTTAAAAGGTTGCCTACTCTTACTTTTTAGACCTTTTTAAACAGTATGACTGATGAAGGGCAGTAGAACATTTGAACCACTGAGAACTGGGTACCATTCCCGACCCTAGCTCATGTGAGCCATTGTGGCCTTGGCAAAATGTAACTTTGCCAAACATCTATATCCTCCTCTGTAAATGGGTATGATAATGGCATCAAATTCATAGTATTCATGACCACTATATGAGATGGCGCATGTCCAATGCCTCTCACATAGCCTCCAAACAAAGTTAACTGCTTTGATAAAAATGATTATTATTAGCAATAATAATTATTATCAGTATTATTATCATTATTAAATGGGCTATTGAGCCCCTATTACATGTAGGGCTTATATACTTGTTTTGTTCTCTTGAATTTACAGGGAGATCACATATTTATAGCTTGTTGAGTGTTTTGTCTTGACTGTTAAATTTATTAAATAAAACATGAGGGTTAACATCTTGGAGATTCCAGTGCCAAGAAAGGGGAAAAGACAAATGAGATGAACAGGCACATTAGTGCACCCTCCTGGCTAACTGAAATCATATGTTCACATTTCATGGTTTCATACACGTAACCCAGTAGTCACAGGCAGTCATAGCAGAGATTTTTGTTGACTTTCGTTGACAGTACGTCATTCTGGAGGGCTTGGCTGAAAGGCAGGAAGGGAGAGTCAGGCTTTGAGAGTCATGTAGTATGGCTTTCCCAAAACTCCTCAAAAAGCTTTGTCCTATGGGACCCATGATTAAGCTTCCGTAATTGGACTGGAGCCAGGAGAGTACACGCATTCACTGGGATGCTTGCTTTCAGCACGGACCAGATCATTCCGAATTCTGTGGGAGATCTGGCCTTGACACAGCAGGGAAACCAAATATCAGTGTTCCTGGATGTGAGCACATCAGTTTTCTATCCAAGAAATACAACTTGTTCCTGCCTCAGAAGTTTGGATCTGGCCAGGAGTCAGAACTTGATCCAACATTCCCATCACACTGTTTATTCATTCTCAGGGAAAGTCATAGTTATTCTAAGATTTGAAGATAATGTAAAATATTTTGACATCATAAAGGTCTTTGGAGATTGAAGGCACAGAATAGCCAAAGGTTGGTGACAGCTTCTTAAAAGTTTCCAGGAAATAAAACTGGCTAAGTCATTATTTGCTTTATGTGGTACTGGGTGGGGTTTTTTGGATATTTGATTTTTTTATTTTGTATACTGTAATCCTATCCTAAACACTTGTTATTAAATCGACCTTCATCCAGTTAACTAACCCCTTTTAAACTTAGTTGCCCCATATATAAAATAGGGCAAGTAATTATTCTTTCCTCTTGATGAGATCATGCGGTTTGAGTGCAGGTGAAGAGGGAGAACTCAGTAAATAGTACCTACCATTGAGGTAGAGAGCGCTAGTCTGTTGTAGATATTACTTTGAATAACTCAGTGTGGTTTTGTCTAGAGACTTACCTTGCTCTGTGCCAAAATAGAGTTCAAATAAGGAATATTTCTTAGGGAAAAGAAAATTTGGCTCTTCAGACAAAATAACTGTAGCCTTTCTTTTCCTTTTTGCAGTGTTCTAAGCCATGTGGTAGGGGCTTGCGAACAAGACTGGTGGTGTGTCAGCGGCCCAACGGTGAACAATTTCCAGATCTGAGCTGTGAAATTCTTGATAAGCCTCCAGATCGTGAGCTGTGTAACACACATGCTTGTCCTCAAGATGCTGCATGGAGCGCTGGCCCTTGGAGTTCGGTACGGCACTATTAATGTTTGTTAACCAGACTATCTAATATACCCAATCCTGAGGTATTTTAGAGCATTCTTCTGCAACAGATGCTCAAAGGCATTCTTGAAACTGTGTGATAAACACTATATTATTTTCATTTTCTTCATATTGATATACAACAGAATTGATTTTTTTATATGTCCAATGTGACTTTACAGAATACATGTACCTCATACAGGAGTGGTGCCAATGGCCAAAAAGTAGCTTCCTTTCCTAGAGGGACTAGACTATATATATATATTTGGGATTTTTTAAAAGAAACTAAATAACTTAATGTAATTATTAAGCTACAAAATGATTTAAGCAGACAACTCGATAGCAGGCATCCTTTCCTTTTCTAAGCTGTGCTTGTTTTGACTTTGGGAAGATACCTTCTTATTGAAGCCAAAGCAATGTTTTCTTCATTGACTGTAATTTGCCACTGTGTGACTCGGGTACAACTCTCAACACAATCACCACAAAAGTTGTATTCATAAAATAGACTTAAATCATTTGAAGTATGCAAGAAGCCAGCAGTACACTCTGTGACCTTGCGCTTTTTACTGTGGCTGAAATGTTCTCTTCCTTCCATGAAGACACAAAGCCCATTTGAGACTATTTCTTGCTTTCGTCCTAGGCTTCCTCTGCTGTCTGCTTAGTCGACACTGTGAGACAGGTTTCCACTCTAATCACTATGCAAACGTCTGGGGCAGCTCTGGGCAAACAGAAGGATCAGTGATATCATAACAATACTTTGCCTAAGTTGTGCCATAACCTATGGAGCTGTTAGGGCTGTTTCATACTAAACATTCCTTTAAATACAGTAATTGCACTGAAGCTTAAATTAAGTTCTATTAAGTCATATCCATAAGTTTTCTAAATATGATTCTAGGAAAAGTCTTAACCATTCCTGGAACCAGCTGAAGAGCAGATTAACTGACGTGGCTCGGCTAATACCAGTTGATGCTTCTCATCATCAAGGGTTTCAGCATTTGAAGGCTGAACACTAGCTATATAACATCTGTCCTTTGTATTAAGTAGAAATCTAGAGGAATTTAGTGTATCATCTTAACTGGTACTATTTAGCTGGGCTGTAGGGTTTTATTCAAGAGCTTAAGAAATATCAGGGTCAGATGAATATTTACCTGGAACATTTGTCCGCAGGATTGGCACTGCCTTCCACAGCAAAATGAACACTTTGAAAAAGGTCAGAAATAACCTTAGACTGTCAGGAACATCCTCTGACATTCTTAACTTCCCTAAGTCACCTATTATATATTATTCTTCATGAAATTCTTCTCCTTGAGCCCCTTATATTTTCACCCTATTCACTCAGCGAACACCACCGCCAGAGCAGAGTTATCTTTCAAAAAGCCTGCTGGCTCTCTAAAAAGTTATGTTTCTTTAATTTGAGCAAAAAATGTTGCCTAAGCCTCAGGGGTGTGTATGTGTGTATGTATATAATATAATGCAATATAATACATATTATATATTGATATACATATTATATACATATCATATACAATATATATGTTAGTTTCCACAACATTCTCTTCTTTGAACACTTTCTAAATACATATCAAAATTTTTTACACAGGATCACCACCGTCTGCCACAGACATTTTAAGAGCTTAAATTTTAAAATACAGTCTGCTATTTAATTTAACTGAAGACTTTAAGGCTTGTTTTTTGTTTTTTTTAACTATAGTTGTTCTTCTGGGACCTGCACAGTTTTCTGAAACACAGAGAGAAAAAGATAGAGATTTTAATCATCTATTATACACAGAAAGAAATACATGGGTTTTAAAAACATTTTTGCTGCCTCTATGATTTTAAAGCTACCTTTATAAAATGATCATTATTCAAATATATATTTAAATACCTCTGCAGTCTAGGAGCAAGGCCACTCCTGCAAGACTTTTGTGATTTTTTAAAAAAATTCAATCAAAACCATTTTATTTAAATAGATACATTTATATTACTTAAATGTATGTGCGTGGGGACAATCTTTCAGGTTGTTACTGTAGGATTTTTGTTTTACTTTTATGTTGATTTTTGTGGATGTATTGGTACAACTTCATAGTAATTCCAAATTTAAGCATACCTCAACGAATTGTGTTCATAGCCATAAGCCACTACTGTGGTGCTTCATCATAGTAACTGAAAGTGAAATTAACAACAAAAAGTACATTTAAAGTACTACCATGTTGCTTTCAACAAAAAGCAAACTAGATTTATCAGAGATCAAGGCTAACAATTAGTCCTTCAGCGGCTTGCTTCCTGTCCCCAAGTACTCCCACGCTGGCAATAGTGTCGAGAACTAACTGCCACTGTGTGAGTGCGTCTTTTCCAAAGTCAAAATGGCAACAGCCTAGTTCAACAATTGTTACTGAGGAACAATATGAAAGAAAAAAATTCCAAATCACTGTTAGCATGGCCTCCAGTCTCTAAACTGAAGCTCCTGTGAACACAGGGTTCAAGCACCCATTTTAGACCCTTAGTTCTACCTCAAGTTACTATAAATGGATTGTGAGAGACATCGTCCAAATATTCATCCTTTTCTGTCCTATTTTTAATGTGTCCTTGCACTCCTAGTTGGTACTGTTTTGTTTTTGAAATCAGGTTCTTCCACTGACATGCCCTTCAGCGGGCTCCTGCTGTCAGCCTCACAAGCTGACTATTCAGTGAATGCACACATCCCATCTAGAGGGATACACAGGAAGGAGAGCTCTATGCTGTCAAATGCAGCTCAACATAGATTAGAAATCCGCAGCCTTCTAGAGTACACTGACTGGTCAAGATAATTAAAGTAAAAGAGATGGCTAGGTGAAGGATGTCACCCATCCCGGCTGGACCCCTGGCCTGCCTCTTTTGCCTTGCTCTGTGTATCTGCTAGCTAATCATCTTGGAGACTAATCGTTCATAGGAGAAATTGTTCATTTTGTTCTCCATGACAAACCTGAAAGTGTTCTCTGAGCCTTGCTTTAGGTGCTTTGGAATAATGCTTGTTGATCCAGACACTGAGAATTTATGATTTCATGAAGGGACTGTGCTTTTGTTTTTGCGTGGCCGACTTATGAATTTTGTCTACCTCATTTTCATATTAAAGTTTGTAGCTCTTGTAGGCAGAAAGAGGAAATGTTTGACATTAGCTATTTTACCACCTCACTGCATCTCTCTCTAGCAAAAAATAGACTGTAAATATCACTGTCATATTTTCTGAATACAGCTTTAAGCAGCCAAGCCTAGTATTATCTGAATATTTTGAGCAGTACAGATTTCTGTGTTTATATAATAAAGTATAATTTATTTTTCTGTTATTTAATTTTGTATGCAGTGTTTAAAAATCAGTGTTTATCAGCAGACTGTACAGGCAAATAAGCTATGTGAATTAGAAGTTCATTTGTATGTTTCTTTTGGTTTTAAAAAGATACACTTTAATTTTGTATGCCTCCCACCTGTACCATCACTCTCCAAATCTGAGTAGCCAAATGGCAAACTTTATGTAACTGGATAGTTTAAAACGTATAATCTAAAGGGACAGCTTAAAAAATATTTTTGAATTGGAAATGATGCTTAGTGATATAAACAAAAATATATGAGGCTTAATATTTGTTGAGTTTTTTTCTTTTCTAATACTGTTGTCCTTATTTATTGAGTCTGAACTATGAAATATTAATCCTCCATTTATTGAATTTGTAGATAATGATAAAACATAGCCAGAAGACATAATGAGTGATTAGAAGAGATGATTCTGCATGTGTAAGGGGAGCTAGGTATAGAAAAGAGCTCACCCAAGTGCATAAATTTCATTATGCCTCATTCCTTGTGTTCAGATAACAGTAAAATACTTCAACATTTGTCAATTCTGTTATTTGTTCACCTGCAGTACATTTCAGAAAGCATTTCTTGGTGAAGAAAAATAAAGAAAATACTGTAACAATAAGCTTGTAACTTTTAAGAGAGCCACACTTTTCAAAAAATTGTAAATCATAAAGATGAGCCCAGACTCCTATTGATCCCACATTCCCCTACTGAGCCTCCAGTTTTTATTATAATTTATTATGGTAGTTGAGGGTGAAAGGACCAAAGTAAGGGAGTTTTTATGAGTTTGACATTTTTTATAAGGTTCTGAATAAAGTGAAAATAATAACTTTATAACTTTATAAGGTGAAACTAATAACTCTTGAAAGCAAATGATCCTAGCTAATATTTACTGAGTATTAACGATGTACCAAGCCAAGTTAAGCAGATACATATCACATTCAACCCCCATGTTACCCTGTGATGGAAGTGTGTTTATGAATTTATTTGACTGTATGATAATCTATTTTAGTGATGAGACTTCAATGTCAGTATGCTAACTATTAATCCTGCATATTTTGATAGAAACAAACAACCTATATTCACAATGAAATATTTAAACTCCTGTTCATATTCAATAAAATGTATGCCTAACAGTCAAACTCCATGTAACCTCAACATTATTGAGCTAACATTGACTGCCCACCTCACTCCGCTGACCAAAAATCTAAATTTAGTACTATTATTGGTAAATTCCCATAACCAGCAGTTATTAACACTTCAAACAACTACTTATGTTGAGGGAATGGCAAAACTCATCTCTCTTTCCTTTTAAAGATATCATGTTAGCCAGATTAGAAGCATGATGTAAAGATTTGACCCTAAGAAATATCACACTAAATGCATATACATATTTTATAAATATGAGAATTTTTTACAACAAAGACACATCTTAAGCATACTTCTTCATGCCTTTTAAAAAAGAAATAAGAAGCACATTATTTGGCTTATCAATATGGAATATAAAAATTAAGATAGTTTTTAAATCAAAATATTGCAACATGTAAAATTATTAAATTTGTTCTGAATTGTGTAGATTAAGACTCTGTAAACCACCCTTCTAAAAATGTGTACAGAACAAGCCCAGCACTGGCCTGCATCTGTCTCATTGGACATAAATCCT